GGTTTTTTGATTGATGTATCCGTACCGCCATTCACACCTCCACGAAGCTGGTGTTTGACGGTCTGCCCGTATCTGGTTTCCAGCGAGGCTTGAGCAGTCGTTTTTCTGGGAAAGGCCTTCGTTGCTAGAAGATTTCTCTCTTCACCGGCGCGTTCGTTGCTAAGTTTTCTCTGTCGGAGGCGTCCCTCACTCAGCAACTTCGGGGATAGCAAAGTTCTGCGTTCTGCTGTCTTTCGACAAGTCCGTGACTGGGTATGATAGCCCGCAAACGCATGGCCCCGGCGCCCACGGATTCAGTAGGTGGAAGAAGGGCCCAGCAAGACATAGCTCAACGCGGGATTTCGCCCCAATGTGTGTCTCGGTGACGCAGCAGCTTGACAACTCGCATTAGTCCTCGCGCAGGACGAGCATGCTTCACCCTTTTAGTCTTCTACATAGTACGGTTGCATTCGTCTAACTTACCACCCTACCCAGCACCAGCAGGTCCCAGAACAGGGCGTATGTTTAATCAATGGATGAGCGACAGCCTCCGCCCTTGACTCGCGTCTCCGATTCTTGGGCGGGACCTACTAGGTAGTGGTGTCTTATTTTCTTCTTCTAATCCCTCACCAGCTACGCAGCCACGTGCCAGCCATTGCGCTCAGGCGACGTAGTGGATCTCGCTGCTCACGGAGATATCAATTGTCGCATCCCCATCGTGGGATGGTGATTTCGAATACAGCATCCTTTTGGAACCCAATAAGCAGATGGACACATAGACTGGGTTTCGGCTCAGGCGATTCCTAAACAGAATCCGTGGTAGTGATAGCCGAAAAATAGGCGCCATTAAACGCAGGCTGAATAGCAGCAAACGCCCTGGCTGCAATCTCATCATCTTCAACCTTGTAGCATCAATGCTGGGCAATATTTGGCCGCCCGATCTCCATTTCACCTGCTGGTTGCAGTTTGAATCGCAGCTAACTTTTCGGGGGGGATGCCTTGAGAGAAGATAAAACGGCCTACATGTCCACTCGCGCAAGCACTGCTTTGATCTGCCTTAAGAACGGTTGGATTGAGTACCTATCCGATCTGGGACTGGCCTGCAGCCTGTGGATATTCGTACCTTCCAGACCGTGAACTCTAAAAATGAGTTTCGGAACAGGAGCTAGTTGGGAAGTAGCGTCTTAGGTGGGCGTGTGTGTGTGTATATGTGTGTCTATATTTGTGTGTAAATGCGTGTGTGTGTGTGTGTGTGTGTGTGTGTGTGTGTGTGCAGAAAGACTGTTGTCATGTGAAGCTGACTCTTTCAAGTGCGGGGAGGGCTTGAAGACCAAAGGTGAGCTATGGGGTTTCTGTCATAGCTGCCAGTGAGCCTTCTCGAACGGGCCTGGTTCTTCGGGTGCTGAAGATGTCCCGGGTCATTATGTAGGGATCATCTTTGTACGGATAACTGGGAGCGTCGCTGTCGTTTGGCGAGTGGTGACTCGACACTCTTTTCTTGGCCGATCTCAGCATGCTCATAGGATGGAGAGGTGGATGATTGCCTTGGGCAGAAAACGTTAACGCGTCGATGTTGTATTCTGTATTACGTTTCTAATATGTGCCCGGGCGGCCGCGCTTAGCCGGGGCGGTTCCTCGGCCGCCCGGCATGCGTTCCATCAGCGTGAATGTTGCAGACAGGGCCTCTTTTTTTTCGTTCTTCTCTCGGATGTGATCTTCACGGGGCGTTGGGGAGTGAGTGTATAAATGTTTTTCTTCTAGTTTTCATCTTTTTATAGTAGAGGTGTAGGATACTACCTTTGTTATCTTGTGGTTGAGGACAGAATCTGGCTGGAAGTGAAAAGCTGTTGTGATGGTTTGAGTGTGCAGATGAGGCCCCTGCCATCCTGTGTGTGCATGTGCGTGTGCAACCTGCCAGCTGGAAGTCAATCTCCAAGTCGAATGGGTCACATCGTGAGCGGAGTTTTCTTCTGGTTGTGAAGGCCAGCCGTCACCGTTTGGCAAAGTAGTTCTAGAAGGCGTTGGTAGGCGTTTGGAGCTAGTGAACGGCGGGCTGGCTGCGCATATTCTTGCCAAGGGTTGGGAAAGGCGGCGGGCACGCTGTCATGCTATGAGGTTAATTATTAAACCAGGAGGTGCTGCGACGAGTTTGTCTAACGTTTTCCCCCTTGGGTGGTGTAATGGGCACTGACAAGTGTATGTGATGAAGGGGATTTCCCAGTTCTGGTAACGGGTTGATGGCGGCAGTTGCTGTGAAGAGACCATACATGGATGAACTGATGAGGCCTCTTAAGCTCGTTGGAGAGGGATGGATTCGTCTCATGTGGTGTTGCAAAGTTGTTGGTTGAATGTAGGTTCAGGGACGGATTGGCTTGAACTCTTTTGTTGGGTTTCTTCTGGAACGGGTGTATGAGTGAATATTGTGGCCCCATTGTCAAGGATTGGTGGTCAGGAGGGAATCTCGGTATCTGTAGTTCTCTGGGTTCTTTTTCCGTGAGCGATCGGGGTAGTTGGTCAGGGTTAGTCTTAGAGGTGACCCTTGTTTGTGTAGTCTGGCGTCTTTCGTGGCGAAGAGATGGGTTGCGGACTCGTTATAAGTCATGTTTTGGAAGGGGCACGTACTTGGCGAGTAAGTCTGGGCTTGGTATCTGTTTAATCCAGGACTCGGGTTCCAGGAACGGTGAGACATTGCGAAGCATGTCGTTCAGGCTTTTAGGGAACTGTTTGCTGTCTGCTGCCATTGTCTGGGCCCTCTGGGGTTCTTGAAGTTTGATGGCTGGGTAACGTATGTGATTAGAATGGGCTTGCAGCTGGATATTGAAATGCCAGGAGTGGTGAAGATATTCTAGATACAGGTAAGGCGTTACGCTTCGGCCTGGATCTCGAGAAGCGGCGGTGTTGTACAAAGGGAGTGCAGCAATGTAGCTACTGAGCTCATGACTTGTAAAAATAAGGCAAGGCGGACCAGCTTCAGAGCAGTCTAAGAACTTGAGACTGGTCGTCGTCCCGTCCGTTGTACACGTGCTTTGAATTGAGTGCCTATCTCAAAACCAGGGATCACAGTTAATCGCCAAGTCAATGTACGATTATTGAACAACTGTGCCCGTTACATCTACGCCAACTTTGGCAGACAAAGTCAAGCTCAGATGCTCATGTGTACCACTTATTTTGGTCCTGAGACTTTGGATTTCCGGCGGATATCTCGGGCCATCATGCTTGGCTATTTGTCTAACTCGCGAGATGAAGTTTCGCTTATGAGTTTCAGTTGCCTCTGTCACAGCTTTAAATCACCGTGAGTGCGGCCCAACTGTTTCCTTGGCTGTGCATAAATATGAAGTACCCCAGCCTCGAGTTTGCTACATAGGTCAAGAAGGGGCACTTCCCGATACGCACCGAATTGCCTGGTAAAAATAACGATATTTCCTATTCTTATGTTTGATCCTAGCTGTATCAGTACATGGAGCCCATTTGCTGCCCCCGATGTTGTCCATCTTGCTCGCCATTGAATGAGTTATCACACAGCTTGCGAGAGCAGCTGTGGTGAATTTCCAAGATATACATCTAGAAACCTTTCTTATTTGTAAGTCGAGATGAGAGTCTGGATTATTTCATTGAAGTCGTGTTTTTGCAAGCTTTCCGATGACCTATGTCCGGAGACAGGGAGAATTCACTGTCAAGCTTCTCAAGGACGTTTTGAGGATACATCTAGGTGGGTATACTAATCGTAGCCCATCCATAAAAAATTCCGGTTGCAGTACAGGCCGTGGACCTCAGATTCTGAGTACATAATGCTACGGTCATGAAATTACGCCAAAACCCTCAGAAGTCATCAAAAGCTATCAGAAGTTCAACATCACCATGGAACTAGCTCATCTTCTCGGCCAAGCCTTTGTCATATGATCTTTATAGTCCCAAGAAACTAGAATGAATTGACAAGACGAGATTCGACAAGACGAGATTCCCGTTTGTTGTGGATCAAGCATATAAATGACTACTTTTTTGAGCTCAAGGCTCAAAGATTGAACCTCTGAAAGCCAACCTAGCTGGAACGTCGGTTCTTCAATTTGCAGCATTCGCAGCTGAGCGGTGCATTACACTTGATTGCACTTTGGCCTTGATTGACTCTTGGGCCTATTTCAAAAGCAGCAAACGCACCTCTTTGTCAAACTCAACGTACCTAAACAAAGAATGTGCCAACCCATAATTCAGACATCACCCATTTCAATGAGTTGGTGCGGGGAATTCCCCGGCCAAATAGGCCGATGTCAGACCAAAAGCAGTAGGGGCTCTCGCCTCGTGTGATTCTGAAGTGAGATAGGCACTAACTAAGTAGCACTCGCCTTAATAGGGTGATTTAGGACAAGATCACGATCACTAGGGTGTGAGCCCCAGACGGACTAGGAGGGCTCTTGGCTAGTCATCTCACTCTCAAGATACCCAATTTGCACCCGCCTTAAGGGGTTGAAGTTGGAAGCAATCACACTCAGATTGAGTTTCCAGACGAAATAGGCGGGAGCCAAATCCAACTGAGAGCTCTCGCCTTTTGTGATTATATGTGACATTGGGACTATTAAGGAGCTCCCGCCTCGCTAGGTGCTGAATGGAAACACATTCTGAGAAATAAAAACAAATCAGGCGGGTACTGAACTAAACCAGCGAGAGCTCTCGCCTTGTATGACCATGAAGCTGGGTAGCACTCGCCTCAAGAGGTTGTTTCTGTCTCGGAGTATCTCGCAAACATCTCCGGCGTCTGTCGCTAAACCGGTTTCGGAGCAAACATTGGCCACATTGTGGCGGAGGTGAGTGGCCCCCAACTATTCCCCCCCCTGTTCCGTTTTCTGTGGAATTTCTGGAACCACTCGGACACCTAGCTTAATCAGCTCAGGCAACCGGAAGCAACGTCGACGACTCTTCTATCTTACAGCACACGTCAGGTACATTTACAAGTACCCCCACATCTCTCACTTCATCATCATCCCCCATCATCAACCCACATTCGACGCCGCGACAGCTTGTTCAAGATGTCAGGCGAATCTCCCGAGGCCAAGGAGAAGCGCCTCGTGGGGACCGTCCAGATTCGGATCCTCGAGGCCTCGAACAACGAGGAGAAGCTCAACGAGTTGTTGGCCAAGTACCTCTGCGCGTTGCTGCTCAAGGCTAAGAGCGACTACGGTGCAGTTCGCAGTGAGGTGAGGATGCGCCGCCAGCTTAGTAAATTTTTCAAAATACTAACATCACTTTAGGTGATTACATTTGCCGGTAAACTGAAAGGCCTGATCATTCACCCAAGGTCTGAGCTCCCTCGCGTTCCGCATCTTCCATCTCATGACCGATGGCACTGACAGTGGGAATAGCATCATTCTCCCGGTTGAGAAACTCATCGACCAGTACCAGGATGCCGATTCACCTATCCTTCGCGTCCTAGATATTTCTTTCATTCAGCACAGCATCCTGCGACTCGAGGATTATGACAGACGTCATCTGTTTCCCAAAGTGACAAAGGGCATCTCATTACCCAAGCATGCAGCCACTCAAGCAGCAATTTTCAATGTCCTCTTGAAGATCATCCCAGATATCCAGGTGCCATCTCGCGGCAGTGAAGAAGACGCGGCCTTCAGAGAAGCTAGCGGTCTTTCCAAAGATGCAGACGCCATCTTCGTCGCAAGATGGTTGGGTAAAGTACTCCTCCTCAGAATCCCGGGTGGTCCGAACCCAACTCGACAAGACTTTGAGAGGATGAATCCGGCTCTACTTGCGGCAGATCTGGACTTCTTAAAGCCCGAGCAGCGCGATAGTGCATCTGCATTCCAGAACATGCAGGCCCTCCGGCGCAAGATTGCCCAGCTTTTGGCCAGCGGCGCATTCAGAGACGAGGAGAGACTTTTGCCCGCCTTGTCTGCAGCAGCGAGCCCCGATTATCAAGTCTCACAAGCCGGCGAGGACATTCTGAAGAGAATCACCATAGATTTCGAGAAGGCATCGGTCATTGAAGAGCTGTATAATGCACACGCCCGACTCCCTGCGCCTCATCGGATCAAAATTCTCCCTCTATTGTCCAAGTCGAAGCTTGCTACTACGATGCAGGATAATATCATGAACGTTGTTCAGCTCGACTTTGGTACAGAGACTTCATCCATTGCGCCAGCTCATTTACAAGCAGCCAGTGGCCTCGAGCGTACCAGACTTCACAAAGCCCTCTTCTACTTCCTCAACTGGTGCGCCAACATTGGACCGACCCAAGCCCCGTTCACCATTGGCCCCAGATTGATTGACAAGATGCGGACATACGTGGAAGATCAAGGCTGGCCCGTTTCACGCACACTGACGGCTGACGAAGAGAAGCTTCGTTCCATGGCCTATGACCTGCTTGGTGTTCTCGGCGCAGGCAGTGCCTCCAGCGTGCAAGACAAGCTCCATCTCGTCGGCTGGCTCTTTAGATCTATGTCTGAGGATCCCACTGCAGAGGCGGTTTCTGCGATCGAGGGTTCGCTTTCGGGACTAACCAGAAGCTTCGACCCCAAGATAGTCAGCGGCGACGGCCGCGGCAGCGGAATGATCAACCTCATTTCCCTGCTCCTGCACTATATGAATCTACCCGAGGAGAACCCCGCCGTGCGAAGCGCAAGATTCTCAGCTGTGAAGTGGGCGAACCAGACTATTGCATCTTGGGATGTGCGAGGTAGATGGATCGATATCCTGGCCATCGCCGGCCGTAAGTCAGAGCGCACTGAGGTCGTCGAGGAAGGCAAGAAGGGTTTGGATCCCTGGACTTATAGGGACGCCGAAGCGCACAAGATGCCGGACTGGATTCAGCTCATGACCTACTTCTTCTGCGACAAGATCTCTGATGAGATCTCTAGTGACGAATGGAGTAGCTCAGCGCCGCCGAAGCTTGACTTTGACGATGCACGAACGATGCAGAACTTCCAAGGCGAAAAGATGATGGCCTACTCCGTTGCTGTCGAGTACGTCAAGAGGGCCCTGTTCATCGCTGCACTTCCAGACTTTCCTCTGGTCCCCGACTGGAGTTCTCAGCTTGACACTCTTGTTCGAAACGACGTCAAGACTCGGGAAACCATCAGAGCCTACTTTCGCTCTGTTGAGCCGGAGTACATTGGTCTCTTTATCAAGATCTGCTTCGACGGTGTTCGTCATCTGAAGAACCTGGATGGAACCGACCGTGTCGTGGAGAGCTGTCTGAAGTCCATGGTTGACGTCGCATCGCTCGCTCCCGCTGGCACGATCAACTACATCGCCCCCTCGGCGTACTTCCTGCAGAAATGCATTACTTCGAATAACCGGCACACCCGTGCCGCCGCCGCACAAGCTGTCGGAATTCTCCTTCCTCATCCCCTTAACGAGGTGGACTTGGCGATTCCCGAGGCAGTACCTCATCAAACGAGGAATGAAAACATTCAAAAGTTTCTGAGAGATCTCAAGGCAATGATCTGGGGATGGGACAAGCACGTGGGAGCGGTCGCCAACGGCGTTGAAGGCGCCCTGCAGGCATTCGGTCACATCTTTTCGAGAGCCGTGTACTACGGTCTTCCGATCCCCATCGACGTTCATCTGCCGGCAAAGATGCTCATGGACAAAGCTCGTCACGGTCCGGCCCTGGAGAATGCCATTCTCGAGTGCTACGCAGAACTCTGGACTGCGGGACTCTCTCAATACATCCCGGACAACGTTAACAACCTTACGGCGGATTATGTGATTGAGAGACTGACGGAAAACGCAAATGCTGGGAGCGACAAGTCCATCTTTGCACTCGGTCGCCTTGCCTTGGCGTTCAATGAACCTAACGAAGAGGCCACTCCCGAGGACGGCCTGCTGTACCCGTCTAGCAAGACATCAGGCATCGATGGCGTCTTGAAAAGCCTTTTCGGACTTCATTCCAGGAAGGAGACCGAGATTCAGTTCACCGTCGGCGAGGCCATTACTGCCGCCATCGCCTGCTGGGAATCAGACTTTGTCAAGCTATCCATGAATGTCGATTGCACCGATGGTCCCTGGAGAAAGGGCAAGCGCAGCCAGAGAATTACCACCGTGCTTGACAAACTCTTCAGAGACTGCAAGACCACCAAGCCTAGCTTGCTCAAGGCCTCGGGTATCTGGCTCTTCTGCATCGTTCAGTACTGCGGACATCTCGACGAAGTTCAGTCCCGACTCCGAGAGGCTCAGGCTGCCTTTATGAGACTTTTGAGTGCGCGAGACGAGTTGGTGCAGGAGACTGCGTCCCGTGGCTTGTCTCTGGTGTACGAGAAGGGAGACGAGGGATTGAAACAGGATCTTGTCAAGGACTTGGTGTCGGCCTTCACCGGCAACACGACGCAGATCAAGGTCGAGGACGAGACGGAGCTTTTCGAGCCGGGTGCTTTGCCTACTGGCGAGGGCAAGTCTGTCACATCGTACAAGGATATTGTCAGCCTGGCGAATGAAGTCGGTGATCAGAGCCTCGTCTACAAGTTCATGTCGCTTGCGACCAACGCCGCGACCTGGTCCACGCGATCCGCCTTTGGCCGCTTCGGTCTCAGCAATATTCTCTCCGAGTCAGAGGTCGACCCTAAGCTATACCCCAAGCTGTTCCGATACCGCTTCGACCCGAACTCCAATGTTCAGCGATCCATGGACGATATTTGGAAGGCCTTGGTGAAGAACCCGAACGAGACGATTAGCGACCACTTTGATCCCATCATGCAGGATCTCCTAAAGAACGTCCTGGGCAAGGAATGGCGGGTTCGACAGGCCAGTTGCGGTGCCATTTCCGACCTCATTTCTGGGCAGCCCTTCCACAAGTATGAGAAGTACTACGCCGATATCTGGACTGCGGCACTCAAGGTCCTCGACGATGTCAAGGGATCCGTCAGAGAATCTGCCCTGAAGCTGTGCATGGGTCTGACCAATACCATTGTCCGCCAACTCGAAGAGGGCGGCTCCTCATCATCGGCGCAGGCCATGCTGAAGCAAGCGCTTCGTTTCCTCCTCTCGCCCAGCGGTCTCGAGAGCGGCGTTGAAGATGTCAAGATGTTCTCGCTCAAGACCATCATCGACATCACGAAGAAGGGTGGTCCTAACCTTAAGCCTTTCATCGTCGACTTCATCCCTCCCCTTCTTGGTCTCCACAGCACAATCGAGCCGGAGCAGATCAATTACGCCTATCAAAAGGTCAACGAGGACTCCCGCGACCAGCTCGACAAGATCAGAGCTCGATGGGTCAACCAATCGCCCATCTCAGAAGCCATCGACAATTGCCTTCGGCAGCTGGACGCCGACGGTATGAAGCAGCTGGCGCCGAAGCTCGAGGAGATTATCAAGACGGCCATTGGCATGCCGACAAAGATTGCGTGCGCTAGACTCATTGGCGATTTGGTCATGCGCCACGCCGTTGACTTCAAGCCGGTCTCGGCCAAGTTTATGCAGATGATGGAGAAGCAGGCCCTCGACCGCAACGACGAAGTTAGCAAGGGCTACGCTCGCGCCGTGGGATACCTCATGCGGATCGTGCCCGACGCAGCTAAGGAGCGCCTCGTCGACAAGTTCACGGAGCTCTACTTCACCAGCGAAGACGAGGCCCGCCGTGCCAAAGTGTCCGATGTCGTTCTGGGCGTCTCCAAGCTGGCCCCTGACCACTTCAACGCCTTGTCTTCCAAGTTCATTCCCTTCACCTACATGGGCATGCACGACACCGACGAGTATACCCGAAAGTGTTTCGACGAGGTCTGGAACCAGCATGGCGGCAGCTCCCGTACCGTCGCACGCTACGTCCCCGAGATTGTAGGCTTCATCAAGAGAGGTCTCGAGGCGCCGCGATGGAACCTCCAGCACACAGCCGCCTTCAGTATCGCGAGCATGATCAAGGCCGTCGTCGCCTCCAGCGATGCCACCGGTGGACAAATGTCCGAGGCCAACCTCAAGCTCATCTGGCCCGTCCTCGATAAGGCGCTCGCGCTCAAGACTTTCCCTGGCAAAGAGAAGGTTCTGGAGTCCTTCCCGCAGTTCGTCGGCAAGGGCAAGACTCTCTGGCAAAACGATTCGGCCGTCGCCGCACAACAGCAGAAGATTGCGATCCGCGAGGCCAAGAGGAACAATGAGGACTACCGCCCGCACGCCTTCAAGGCTCTCTGGCAGTTTGCCGAGCAGCGTGACGACCTGGATCTCCTCGAGACCATCTCTACCATAGTCAGCGGGCCTCTGGACGACTTTATCGACGAGGATCGAATGGATGTCGACAGCTCCGGCGACACGACTCGCAAGGCGGCCGTCAACGGCGTCGAGACGGTCGCGCGAGGCTACAACCGCAAGCAGATCAAGGAGAACCCCAGCGCCGTCCTCAAGAAGGTCTTTGAGCTGCTCAAGACGTATCTCGACAACGCCAAGTTCGAGGGGATCAAGCGCGAGGTGTGGTACGAGTGCGTTAGGGACATGATGGAGGCTGCGCCCGCGCCCGCCCCCGACGCCCCCGCGGAGGAGAAGGAGGTCGCTCTGGCGTACCTCCGGAGCCTGGACCCCGAGTCCATCGACAACGGCACCGAGGCCCAGCGTACGATGCGGGTCCTCGCCGTCGGCGGGGTATTCAAGGCCATCCAGCGCGGGGTGTTTGGGGAGGGAGCGGCGGCGGCGGAGGAGAGGAAGGGGTTTGTGGAGATGGTGAAGGGGGCTCTGGCGGCGGAGAGATCCCTTGAGGTGCAGAAGCACCTCAAGGAGATCCTCGCGGAGCTGGAGAAGTAGGGGAAGGGACATATTCCCCCTACTTCTCCAGGGGAGAGAGGTGATTAGGTTGGGCCGCGCGGCGACAGGATTTGGCTCGCGGGGTGTTGATACCCCTAAATAGAACTTGCTCTTTACTTGAATGACATTACCTCAAAACTTGATCCTTTCCATCGTATCTTTGATCATTCCGCGGGAGGGATTCGGGGCTGAACATACCAGAGACACTGGAAAGGGCGGAGGCCCAAAGAAAATATGCCATTGACGACACACCTCGCAGAGTAGGCTTACCATGAAGGGCGGACATGAATGCCGAGATCGGACTCTATAAATGCTATTATTGTCAGGAGTACATGTCCCTGTCTCGAAGTAGCCTTGAAGTCGTAGGTTCAGCATGCATCAATTTCCCGCAGGCCGACAGCTTTGAATTGGTTCAGTGAGCCCGAAGCAAAACGGTGAGTTGGATCGTAGTCACTGCCCTGCAAGCACGTGGGCATGATCGCATGGATCGTTAGGAATACGGAGTCTTTAATCATCTGCCTGGGAAATTGCCGAATTGCGCGGACGGCGCAACACACTTCCGGAGATGATATAATCATGGTGCGGAAGATCGGTCAAGACGGCCAAGTTCCCAGTGTGACTATCGCATCTCAAAGACTGCCTGAAATAAGGTGAGATAGCGCTTAGTTGATGTGTGGCTGGCCTGAGCCACAGTGTCAGCCACAATTGGAGTGAGGTGGCCGTGGCGCAGCAAATCACCTCATCGCATCAACATTCCGCCATTGCTCCGAGACAGGATGGGTTTGAGGCCCGACCAGCTGTTGCGTCACAGAGTTGGACGCCTTGAGGGTGGCACTGGCCCGAGAGCAGCACCTGCGCTTCCACCCGCCGTCCCTGCACTCACACGCGCCAGGACAAGCCCGCAACACAATCCCGTCCTCAGATCAGTGGCGGCGCAAACCAACCAGCCTTGATCTTTCCCAACGAGAAGCTGCAAACTGAGCTATCAACTTTCTTTCAGGTTACCTATTTACATCCCACCTTCACGTTCTTCACTCGACGGGGCTAGGCAGTCTGTACCCAGAACCAAAGACCCAAAGCGCCTGACGGTGACCTGCAGCCACCCCTCCACCCCGTGCCAGACTCCAGTGCCTTCGGTTGAAGGTGGGGCAGAGGTGCCATCCGTCTCCCACCTCCAGAGTTCCTTTTGCATTCGCGGATTCTTCTGACCGCCCCCAGAAAAGCAACATCGTTTTCCTGATTTAGGCCCGGTATCTATTGCGGGAGTCTTTTCTACGATATCACCTTTTCTTCTTACGCGATCACACCAAGCGGCAAGCGCAAACCTTCGCCATGGACGAGGACATCTCCAATTTCGTCGCCATCACGGCTGCCAGCCCGGAGGCCGCTCGCGGTTTCCTAGAGATGGCCAACAACAATCTCGAGCAGGCCATTCAGCTTTTCTTTGAGAACCCCGACATTCAGAGCAGTTTCAACCAGGCCCCTGCCATCTCGTCGACAGCGCCCCCAGTGCCCTCGAGCACCCGACCGAATGTAGGACGGCAGGACGAACGCGGGGTCATTCACATAGATAGTGATGACGACGGCGATACTGCGATGACGGTGGACGATATGGACGATAACTTCGGACACGACGACTCCGAGATCGCGGCTAATGCCCAGGTGGCGGCCATCGCTCGAAGTGCCCAGGAGGAGGAAGACGCCGCGATGGCTAAGAGATTACAGGAGGAGCTCTACGGTGGTGGACCCGGAGGTGGCGGTGGCGGCGGTGGCATTGGTGGTCAGGATGATGTCAGGTCGCCCATCGCCAGAACCACCGAGACACTGGTTGGAGGCTACGACGGTGACGATGGTATGGACATGGACACCATCATCCGGGCACAAATGAGGCAGAGAGAAGCTGCCAGGGCAGCTCGAGGTACGTATTAGGCCGTGTCTGCCCGGTGATGTTCATCATGCTAATTTGGTGGTTTTCAGCTGGCGGCGGAAATCCCTTTGCTCATAACCTGTCCATTTGGGATGACGACAGCCCAGTTGCAGCCCAACCCGCTCAACCAGCCGCGACGGAAGGCGGCACGCGAGCCCAGAGACTGGCAGAGCTTTTCCGCCCTCCCTACGACATCATGTCTAGACTGGACTGGGATGAGGCGAGGCAGGAGGGCAAGGACGAGAAGAAGTGGATCCTCGTTAACCTCCAGGATATGAGCGACTTCAACTGCCAGGCCTTGAATCGAGATATTTGGAAGGATGCTGCTGTACGGCGGCTATTGGATGAGGCCTTCATCTTCCTGCAGTATGACAAAGATGCCATGGCGGCACAGCAGTATATCAACTTTTATTTCCACGGCACCGGTCACGAGAACCCAGACAACTACCCGCACGTCGCCATTATTGACCCGAGAACAGGAGAGCAAGTCAAGGTTTGGAGTGGAAGGCCGTTTCCCAGCGCCTCAGATTTCCACGCGCAGCTGGCCGAATTCCTGGACCGCTACAGCCTGGCGGCGAACAGCAAGAACCCCGTGGTGGACCAAGCAGCGCCGCGCCCCAAGACCGTCGACGTCGACCGGATGACGGAGGACGAAATGCTGGAGATGGCATTGCAAAATAGTCTTGCAGCGTCAAACGGTGGTGGCAGCAGCTCCAAGCCCAAGACGGGCGTCTTCGATCCCGATGCGCTCACCAAGTTGGACTCTTCTAGCGGCCAAGGCAAGGGCATACCTCCACCTGAGGAGGCAGCAGGCGGCATAACTCCTCCTGCGGAGCCGGCAGCGACGCAGAGCATCTGGGCCAAGATTGCGAGCGACAAGCCGCACACGGAACCCGAGAATAACCCGGCGACGACGACGCGGATACAGTTCAAACACCCCACTGGACGTGTTATCCGGCGATTCAACCTGGACGATCCGGTCAGGCGCATTTACGAGTGGCTCAAGGCTGAACCTCTCGAGGGCAAGGGAGGCATCGAGGTTGAGCTGAAGCGCGTGCCTCAGGGCCAGGATCTGAGCGATGGGCTGGACAAGACCATCTTGGAGGCTGGGCTCAAAAATGGAACCGTCATGGTTGAGTTCATCGAGGACTAGCTAGTGCTGGCGGTCTACTCAGCGGCTGATGATTCACAAGACTTTAATTTGGGGCAAGGTGCATTTCTCAGCAGGGCCAGGGCATGGCCAATAGATTCGGCGGAACAGGACAGGCGGAAGGATGCTTTCTTTCATTGTTGTTCGTTTGGGCTCTTCTCATACATACCACGATATCAGGGTGGCGGGTTGGGGCTCGATGACCACGAGGGCAGGCAAGGAAGGATGTAGCTGGTCGAGGACAAATAGTCAAACAGCTGGCCAGCGGCTTTGGACGGTTACCCCAGATAGACGCTTCTTAACCCACAGATGACATCAATAGACATGGGAAATGAGAATAACACGGGTCGCGCTTGCGTGCGACTGCTTGAAAAACTGGCAGAGGATAATGTTTTCTGGAAGATTTAGTGAAAGGCTGGAGGGTATTATAATTCGATATTGAATTTCCCCATCGATGAGCCTTCGTGTGTTGGTACGTGGTGATTGGGTCTCGATCCAATCTGGTGTGACGCGGAATCTTTGATGTCGTGCTTCGCATTGCCAACCATTCCTCGAAAAAGCAAAAGAGCAAATATGGCTCAGTTTGTCTTGGCCTGGGAGATGTGGGTGTTTCACCAACCTAAAGCAGACCGTCTTGGGTGTGCTTGGCTAGCCCTGGGCCCCTGACTCACCTAGATCGCTGGTGGCGCGTTGGAAGGGCCAATCAGACAGGTACCGCGGACGGGTTCCTGGATGGGACGTGTCGCTGCATGCAAGATGAATGGAGGGGTGATTGGGTGGTGATGATGTGTGGTGGATTGGGCACCGAGGGTGCGAGGAGAGGCTCTCGGTCAGCCAACAAGTTGGTGGTGGTGGTGGTGAGGTGGTGAACTAAGTGGTGGCCTTGGATGGTGTCGATTTCGTGAGGTGCAATGCATTGGATAAGGAAGAGGCGATCTGTGCACGCTCGCTTACCTTGCGATAATGAAGCGATTGTTTTGAGTGCCGGACGTCGCTGACGTTTTTACTGGACAGGGCCACTCGGAGGACCAGAGCAGGGGGGCAATGGGATGAGGGGAAGGTTCCAATTGACATCAACAGCGGTGGTTGCTGGTGAACCGACCCCTCGGTTACTATTTGTGATCATGGCATAAACAACGGGGGATGCACGAGGTCCAATAGACTCAGTATCTCCTGCTTACCACCTCACCTCAACTACGAGACGTGCGCAGGACCGTCGCCTTTTCGTTTTTATGTGTCCACCATACTCCCGGAACAGGAGGATTCAACGGCAACACACGCAGATTTAGAAGGCGGTGCCAAAACAGTCCGAGTCCAAGTCCAAAGTCCAAGCCTCAGCCCAAAACCAAGACCAACACTACACACCACACCCCAACAACATCCCCAGACAACACGACGACGAAGACAGCCAAAGACAGCCACGCCATCGCCCTCCTTCTTTGTGGCCTTTCAACCGTCCAAGCTGGTCTGGCTTGGTCCGTCTCTTACCCCACACTCTGCCTCGTGTGTCCAAACTACCGTCCGTCACTCCTTTGCACTACCAACCGTAACCCCACGACGCTTTCTTTTTGCGCGGCTCTGCCTTGCTAGACCTTCATATTGCCCATCTCTACCCGTTGGTCTGTTGTTTCCCCTTGCTGCTTGTTGTGCCCCTAGCATTGGTCCAACCGTGGCACTGACGTCTTTCCCCATTACCCTTCTCCCTCTCGCTCTGCTAATTCACCGACTCGCGAGGAACGTGAATTACAGCGGCCCGCTACAGTGTCTCACCACCACCTCTGGAACTTTTTTTTCTGATCCTTATTTTCTCCCCTTGTTTACCTCGTCATTCTTGTCTCTGCACCTTGAAGAAAAGAAGGGACGAGACATAGACACGCGACAAGACGACGTACGATTGACGCCGCCCCCTTGGGAACTAATCACCGTTAGGCCCGGCCAATTTGTCTCTAGCACCTTGCTAACGTTCGCCTTTCCAGATCGCTTTCTTTCTCCCTGGTCCTCAAACCATACTCTTGGGCCCTGTGACCGCCAGCCGGGTTCGCTCCAGCTTGACGACAGTCGCATCCGTCGTCCCCCACCGCCTCTGTCTCTCGCGCTCGCATTCAACTCCAGGATCCCCTCTTCAATCAGCTGCTCGCTGCCCGCTGCCCGAACACGAGAAAAGAGACTTCCAGACCCGAGAGTCAATTTACCAACCGACCCTCTGCCTGACGACAGCCGGCATCAGCGACGAACCACCGCCGCCCCGACGACGGACTACGGCGATTGCACCGCGCTGAGTAGACCTCCGGCCCCTCGCAACCCTGCGATTGTTCCTTTACGACGGACGTTAGTTTCGACGGGGGCAGCTCCTGTCGCGCGGCGATAAACAGACAACACTTCTCACGAGACACCCCTTCGCATCGCTCGGCCGGAATCATGGGAGATCGCGATAGGGATATCGAGGAGGGGAACGAGGCGCTTGACCCTGAGCTGCTCTACACCAAGGAGTACTGTATCGGTATGCACTGCTTCCGTGCTTGAGGCGGTACATTGCTAATACCCAGGATTTCCTAGGCGGAGGAAGCTTTGGCAAGGTCTACAAGGGGTGAGTGCTATCCTCGTGGGGACGGACGATGTCCTTCATCCAGCCCCCCTCCAGCGAGAAATAGAGGAACTGACACCAACTTGTACAGAGTCGACAAGCGCACCGGTCATGCGGTAGCCATCAAGATCATCGACATTGAGAGCGCCGAGGACGAGGTCGAAGACATTATCCAGGAAATCGCCATCCTGTCCGAGCTGCAGTCTCCCTACGTTACGAAATATTACGGCTCCTACGCCAAGGGGGCAGAGCTATGGATTGTCATGGAGTTTTGCTCAGGCGGGAGCTGCGCAGACCTCATGAAGCCTGGTCTAATAGGCGAAGACTACATTGCCATTGTCATTCGTGAGCTGCTGCTGGGTCTCGACTACTTGCACACAGACAAGAAGCTGCATCGCGATGTCAAAGGTTAGTTTGTTACTCTGCAAGGCAGCCCATCAACTTTCCCATCCTCAAGCTAACACGCATACCCAGCCGCCAATGTGCTACTCAGCTCCAACGGGCAGGTCAAGCTTGCCGACTTTGGCGTCTCGGGACAGCTCTCGGCCACCATGACCAAGAAGAATACTTTTGTCGGCACCCCTTTCTGGATGGCCCCCGAGGTCATCAAGCAATCAGGCTACGATCATAAAGCTGATGTCTGGTCTCTTGGAATTACTGCGCTAGAGCTTGCCAACGGCGAGCCTCCCTATGCAGACATTCACCCCATGAAGGTGTTGTTTCTAATTCCCAAGAACCCTCCACCGCGGCTGGAAGGAAACTTTACAAAAGCATTCAAAGATTTTGTTGAGGTGTGTCTGCAGAGGGATCCCAAGGATAGACCCACAGCCAAGGATCTGCTGAAGCATCCCTTTATACGCCGCGCAAAAAAGACGAGCTACCTGACCGAGCTCATCGAGCGCCACAGCCGATGGGCCGCGACGCACAAGGGCGACGATGATGAGAGCGATCAGGGGGGCGAAGAGTACTACGAGCGCCAGCAGGTCGACGAAGACATGTGGGACTTTGGCACAGTGAGGCTCGTGGGAGATCGTGGAGGTGTTATTCCTCGTCCAGGCCTTGGTGCCCTGGATGAGTCTGCCACCAATGCCAGGGCGGCGAGGTCTACGGAGAGCACCGACGACTATGGCGAGCATTCTCGAGACAGTAGCCCGACCAAAATTCGCGACTTCAGCCGCGACCTTGCCATTGCTTCGGATACCCTCAAGGCAGCCAGTGCCAACACGGGAACCTCTCGACAGGCCTCGCCACAACGGAAGCCAGTGCCGACAACCACACCCCATTCGCCAGCCAAGGTGCCTCTTCCAATGTCGCCAGAGAAGCTGCAAAGAGGGGGTCCTGAGACGCCGCGGCCCATCTCTCGATTGATTCCACCTGCTGTCCCTGTTAGTCAATCTCCGGACTACGACCGCGAACTGCAGGTTCAGTTGCAGAAGGACATGGGCTTGATGAGTCTAGGCCCTGTGATCCAACCCGCCGACCTGCAGCATGTTCAGGATACGACACCGCCGCGACCCCCTCTTCATGGGCCCCGGCCCAATAACAAGTTTACCCCGATCACTCTTCCAGAAATCCCGCCGTACCGCGGCAGCCCGCAGGCGCAACAGGCGCCGATGAGGATACCGAGCCAATCTCCGAACGGGCAATATCGCCAACCGTCTGGCCAGGCGCCACCTCCTCCGCCGTCCAAGGCATACGCGCTGCCGTCAAAGACGCAGACGCCTACTCCTGAACCCGCGGCTCCCTCGTCTTTTCCCCCGCCAGCGCCGTCTAACCCTAATGGAGAGCTCGACGCTTTAAATGATGTTATTTTCCCTGCACTCGAGGAGGCGCTAAAGAGAAGGCAGATTAGACTGCAACAGGCTTTCCGACCCCAACAGGGTTCGTCGAGCCCCGTGGCCATGAACCAGGTGACTCCCAAGCAGCAGCGAGCAGAGGCGGCTCACGAGAAGCTGCGGAAACTTGTATATAAGCTCGCTCATGTGTGCAAAGAGATTGACCACTATGACAAGGCGGAGCCTGTGGGTATGGGCAGGGACGTTGGCACCTTCCTGGAGGGGCTTTTGGAGGAAATTCTCGTCAGGGTTGAACCCCTCGATGAGGAGGATGTTGCGGCGTGAACCGTCTGATGGTCCAGGCGGCTGTGTATGATGCGCAACGACAGACAGGGGGGATGCTCGGTGGGGCACCGTGAGCACATGCTCGGATGCTCGCGAGCCGCCGCCGGCACGATTGACACTGACCGATGAGATGGGATGGAAGATGGGATCACTAAGCAAGTATTGCAAGTCCCGCTGACGACACAAACAACACACGGCGTTCCGGAGGATACTGCCTCTGTGTGCAAACGAAGGACTCAACATACAGCAAAAGGGGAATCGGGGTTGTTGAAATGTTGCAATGACAAGACGACAAGACGACAAGACGACGACAGATATGACATGATGGACACACGTGGCCCGTCCCCTCGTCTTTGACTCAGACTGGAAGGAAACAACGGGTAGCGAGACCGGGGTTTGAGGAATAGAGGGGGGCGGGGAGTGGTTTACAAGACGCATTTTTCTAATTCTCGATGTATTATACCCAGCATTTACCAAGAATAGAGTGCCTCCTCTTTCTCTGAGACCCAGGCCACCTCCGGAGAAACCTATGCAGGGCGGAGGAGGCTTCGATTCACTAATCCGTACAGGGGAAAGGGGAAAGAAAGAAAGAGAGAGAGAGAGCACATTTGTATGGTAACTCGTGAGAGCGGACTTTCGAGCCGATGCGTAATATTTTCTGCCCAGTGGTAGTTTGCGTTTCTTCCCTGGCATGGGAATCTTGAAATGCCGCTGAGCGGCGGCATATTCGATTACTCGAAGCCAAGCGGCCAGGGAGTGCTACTTGCTAGGTTGGTCCAGACGCAGGCAGTGGCCTGTAAACCCGGTCAAGGGGGGCCAATACCCTACCGTCAGCGGGCGAACCTTGGCTTGCCGCTTCAAACTTCAAAGACAAGGCAGCGCCCGTGGAGAAAGTCTCGCTCTTTCTCAGACCCTGTCCTGCACTCCTGAGGAACGTCGCTTGGAGGAAGGGGAGGTAAAGACAGAGAGATAGGTGGATTCGCCCGTGGAGTTATACTATAGTATGGTTACGCTACGGACACCAAGCTCCGTGTGTGACGGGGTGCTGATCCATGGCTCCATCTACGACGAAACCTTGTCCGGCGCGGCTGAAAGGTTCAGGTCTGAAGAAGGGCAAAACACAGGAGTTTGATCGAATGAGAACAAAAGAGTACGGGAGAGCGTCATGAGTGGTTTTTTTTTTTTGGAGGTTTCCGATGACAGATTTGTTGTCTGTGTGTTCTCTGATGTAAAAAGGCCCGTGGAATCCTTGCTCGTGGAGGAGATTCCGACCAAGGCACAACGAAATCATCATCACACGACGGAGCCAAGGCCACTTACAAGTTACAAGCTACCTTACCTTAGCTATCCGTAAGGTACTCGATCTTGAGGCTCCACCAAGGCATCGATCACTCATCGAGAAGGGAAACGTCGTTCGGCCAGGTCGGCGCGGCCCAGCTGCCAGCAGGTCGCAGCGGCAGATAACCTGAAACCAGACGCGCGCGTGGGGCGGTGCTGCGGTGATGCGGTGATGCCAGATGGGCATACGATTTTTTTGGGACAACCCTGCGGCGAGTCATGGACCCTGAAAATGCCAAACTACCTTCACAACATCCGGGTGGGAAAGCTGCAGAAGGCGGCATTGACCTTGGCTGGCCTTGCTGGGCTGCTGCAGAACCTACCATAGTAAGTAGCCCTGGATGATGGGGGCCTTCTCTTTGTTAGTTTACAGATACCGGTACGGCGTTGCCCGTCGCCGAACCATGATCCCTACACCCCTCCCTCCCTCTCTCTTTCTCTCGCACCTTTTAGCCTCTAAGTTCTGACTACTTCTTCAGGCCAAGTCTGGGGGCCTTTTCTCTCGGGACGAGTCAATCGTCCGCCCCCTCCACCGCAGTCTTCCCTCAAAGTTGGGACGCTGGCGGTTGGGCGCTGCAAGACAAGCAACACGGCTTGACCCTGGGTATCCCCTTTCTGATATTGTTTGGGTGCGGCTGGCTTACCTACACATATATGTGAGACTGTAAGTGGCATGGGTAGCATTACCCCCCCGGGTCGGCGTGCTGCCGGCGAGATGTTCGCAGAGACCTTGACGCTTCCACGACACTGACACCCCAAGAGGCGAAATCCTGATTATGGAGCCCCTTGCTCCATGTGGATGTTCGAGGGAGGGGAGGAGGGGAGCAAGGCTCGGATCCAAAGTACCGTGAGGGAGGTGATGGCTGTGGTGTGGGATATGTGACTTCTTTAAGGCGTGGCTGCGCCGCCCTCCTCTCGATCGTCTGGGAGGATGGTTTCTGGAGTTTCTTTGCAACTTGACTCGCTCCTCTTTTGTTTCCCTTTTCTTTCATCCCCTCTTTCGAAGATGAGCACCTGTTGATTATGTTTTCTCTTCTCAATTGAGGAAATCCGGAAAAGAAGGATCCCGAGCCAGGCCACCATTCCGTTCATTTTCGGTTCTCAATATTCGCCTTTTCATCACTCTTAGTTTTACTACTACACTCTCTCGCGGAGGTAATATTAATCCTACGGTGGAAGGATCAAGAGCCTCTTGTACTTGCTGTTCCCACTTCTTTGCTACTGGTTTAGTCATCTGTTGTTCATTGGTGTTCCTGTTTCGAAATCTTGCACTAAGAGGAAGAGAAAAGGTAAAGGTTGTCGACAGCCTTACTTCAAACACGTTGCGTACACATAGACATTTTTGTCTTGTCAGCTACTACCTGGCACATCGTGTTCCCCTTCCCACATCGCCCACCTCCTCTTCATACCACTTCATCTCCTAATCACTCACTACCTACTGACGGACTCTCTCTCACCTCCCCGACCTCATCCCGAACAAAGGTACAGCCTTTTCGGGGCCGGAGCCTCAGATTTGTGTTCCGTCATTACACAACCCGGTACGATCGACACGGTGCGGCTGGTTTGACGATTGTTTACGACTGTTATGCAACAACAAGAGGCTGGTTCTCTCGACGACACATCTTCCCCATCATCGGCATCGAATTCGTTGGGAAATTCTCTCCTTTAGCTGAGGCACCTTCTCCTATACCAAACAACCAAACCTACCAACCGGCAAACCATGAAGGCGACGATAACGAAGGCGGTCCTGCTGACGCTGCTCAGCAGCGGCGGCTTTGCGGGGGGCGTCCGGGCCGCGGCGAACCTGTGCTTCTTCCCCGGCGGCGTGCAAAGCCACGACGTGCCGTGCGATCCCAAGGCCGAGGTCAGCATGTGCTGCGGGAGCGTGAACGCGTGTCTGAGCAACGGGTTGTGCAAGCTCGATGATACGACGAATAAGACGGGTATTGCGTATGCGAGGGGGACGTGTTCGGATCCGACGTGGCAGAGTCCCATTTGTCCGCAAAATTGCGTGTTGAGTAAGTCTAAATCAACCATTTCCATTTGCACTGGGGGTTTGGGAGGGTTGATGAAGGTTGAGGCATCCGGGCATGGCGTGTCCAGGATGAGGGGAAAGGGGGGGGGGGGGGGGGGGCGGGGAAGGACCCCCCGTGCGGTGGGGGGGGGGGGGGGGGGGGGGGGGGGGGGAGGGGGGGGCGGGGGGGCGGGCGGGCGGGGGGGGGGGGGGGGGGGGGGGGGGGGGGGGTTCGCGGAATGGAAATAGGACGGGACAGTAGTACTAACACGCGAATGTAGACCCCGACACGAGGAAAAGCAAATCAGCATACGACTTTAGATTCAACGGCGTTCAGGTATGGCAATGCGACAGCCAAGGGTTCGGCGTACCGGGCAAGTTCTGCTGCGAGTCGGCCGCGGAGAAGACGCGATGCTGCAGCACGCCGGCCGCCATCTTTGGCCCTCTCATCGCCGCGACGCCGGGCAACGCCGCCGCCGTCCAGACCCTCAACACGGGCGCCAAGTCCACGCCCACACACTCGGGATCGGCCCGCGCCGGCGTGACGGGGGGCAGCAATTACCCATCACAGCCGATGCCCGAGATGACGGCCGTGCCGACGATAAGCAGCAAGATACCCGCCACGCCCGGAGGCGCGGGGGCGAGCCAGCCGACTGGCGATACGAATAGCGGCGGTGGCGGCGGCGGCGGCAATCAGGACAACGGACAAAGGGGGATCGGGAACGCGGCGGTCGTCGGGCTGGCTGTTGGTGCTAGCATCGGGGGTGCGTTGCTTGTGGCGGCGGGGGTGATGTGGTACCTACGCAAGGAGAGGTCTCGTCAGGGTCACGTCGAGCTCGATGGGTCCAGCACCAAGGGCGGGTTCCGCGGCAGCAGCGGGGCGGCGAGTGACCTGTCGGGGTCCGACACGGGACGCCTTGCGTACGCGGAATTCGGCGGCGGCGGCGGCGGCGGCGGCGGGGAGGCGAGTGACCTGTCGAGGTCCGACACGGGACGCATCGCGTACGGCGGGATGAACATTCACAATGTGAATCACAATAGCGGCGGTACGGGGACGATTAGCTCCATGGGGACGGGGACGTATAACATGACGCCTGGGATGATGCCTGTGAGGAGGGCGAGCAGCGAGTGGGATGGGAGTCCTGGCGGGCTGGGGGGCAACTATCAGATGGCTGAGATTGATGGCAAGGAGGCGATTGTGGTTGCCGAGCCGCAGGCGAGGAAGAAGAGCTTGTATGAGCTGCCGTAGCCCTGGCTACATTTACGTGGCGGGGGTGTCTTTTTGGGGGATGTGAGATGAAGCTACGTGGACGGGATAGGAGAACGTGGAAGTCATTGGGATAGATGGTTGGCGTGGAGTAAAACATGTAGAGACGGGATTGTACAAAAAGGACATTTGGGACGGGGATGGAGTATGGGTGGTGTGATACCTTGAAAACTTTTGATGGAGGGGACTTTTTTCTTTTCTTACTCCCCCTTCTCCCTTTTAGTCTACGGTTTATGAGAAATCTACTTTATGAACTCTGGATGCTGGTTTCTTTTTCTACCTAGTGTTCAATTCCTACGATTGGGCTTGCCGTGACATGATTTACGCTTATCCGCCATCTATCCATGACCTTCAAGTCTGTGTGGATGGACGAGATCGCGAACTTGGACGGGGAACGACACTGGCGTGAGAAGCAACGATGATGGGCACCAGGGCCTGTTGGCTGACAGCAGCTCATTACGATGTCTATTACATAGGACGGGACGATACTAGGAGGCAGAGACGGAGGGCTAGCGAGGGTACGGTGGAGGGAACGTGAAAGGAAGGGAAAGTGGGTTACTCGCACTTTGGTACTGGTCATGGCCAGCAACGTAACCGACCAACCGATCGGATCCGCGCCAGCGCTAATACGTTGTTGAAGGTGAGGAGAGGGAATTGTAGTTTATTGAACTTCTCGATCCGGTCACCAACACGTGCTTCCGCCCTATGGAGTTCTCCTGGGTAGTACTGGAAGTGGATGTCCAACTTCCACGGTCCACGGGGAACAGGACGTGAGGGATCGGGCACGTCTTGTGCCGTTGCTTCATGGTAGGGTAATGATCGACAGGGGAAGGTTTTGCGGCTCTGGTTGTGCCTCAATGTGACGGTGGCGAGTGAGAAGGATGGCAGGCCTCGGCATGGGAATTCCGCGAGTGCTGTTAGTCAGTTTTGCTGCAAGGTGAGAGTATCGTTAATCGTCTTTTTGTTATTTCCCTCTACTCTGCGAAATGAACACGGGAAGGGAAGCAGGGATTGCCTTGGTCTTGTCTGTCCATGTCTGCTTACCCGGATAGGTCGATCATTCGTCACCTTCCATGCCGGTAACGGGCAAGAGATTGAGATGATGGGGTTACGGAGGGAAGAGCAGAGCAGGCTGTGATGTCATAGCAGTGGTGCGCATTATAGAAAGGAGGCCTTGGTATCATCCAAGGCAAGGCCAGGGATGGTGTTCCGAAAGATTGTTTGTTGGATGTGAGTGGGCTGGTTGAAGCAGGGACCTCGAAGGGAGCGAGTGAGAAGGGATGTCGTTGCCGACGGTCTTCTCACTCTGTGTGTGGGTGAACAATGGACAGGGATACAGGGGGTTTAATGAGAACAGAGTTTGCCGCGACGTCTCATGAGGTATGATTGTCGATGCACAAAGAGTCCTAATTGGTGCGTTGCTGGCAAGTTGAGTGCGCTGATGTGGTCGCGGGTACTGTGAACTTGAGCTCTGGAGAACAGTTAGTGATGTATCGTTGTTGGATTGAGACATGGCTGCATTTGCTTTTGCCTGAACTTTTCAACTGTGTTGCTTCAACCTCTTTCTTAATGTATTGGTAGCTTCAATTACTGGAAATCCAAGAGTCTGTAGGATGGTTTGACTTGGCAGGTTGTCCTGACAGGTCTTGGAGTTCGGGTGGTGCTTTTCAATGATGGTGTGTAGGAGCCAAGAGACGAGACGAGCGGCAAAGTGTGTGTGTGTTTCCGTATAGATGTTTATCCAACACACGCTCATTAACATAACTTGAACTTTGGGCAGAACTAGATACCCGAAAAAATTTGGGACCGGTCTTGGTTGCATTAGTTGTTTAGCCGCATATCACACAACCAGAGGGCGTCGGGCTGGGTCGGAGTACGAAAAAACCTCGACCCACGATTTCAAACGGAGATCAGTCTCTTGGTTCGACATACACAATGGCAGATGGTTCAGTAAAGGTTATATGGAACATGATATGATACAGATCTACAGGTTATCAGCAAAAGCCGCGACAACAGATACTGGAGGAAAAAGATGAAGAAAGTTGGCCAGGGGAGCCGGGTGAGGGAAGAGGTCAATAGGACTGCGCCTCCTTGACAATGAACATCCCCGGCCCCAACGGACCCGGGATCACCCCACCACCGCACCGGGGCTTTCGACAGGAAGTGGGGTGCGATTCTGGCATCCGCTCGCGTAGAAGCGTGTGCAGGCGGTGACGGACCACCGACTTGCCGGAATATCGCCTACTTGGGACGGAAATTTGCCGACCACGCTGTGCGCGCTTGCGTTTTCACTGCAGCGGGCGCAAGATCTGGAGTTTGGGGGCCGTTCTTATGTTTCTTACTTCAGACGTTATAGCCCGCCCGCACAGCGTGGTGGGGAACGGAGGCCTCGTTGACAGGATTACGTGGCGATGGAGGTTTTCTGCAAGTTGTCTCTACATCTGCGTGTTTGTGTCATTGCCGGAGGCCGTTTCCATGAAGGATGGGATGATACGCTATTCTTGTCGGGCGGCTGATTCGAGGACACGGAGGAGTCTGAGAGAATAGGGTTTTATTCCTCTTTGATCTGCTGGAGCGAGTGCTTATCTTGAAGATCGGTCGCTAGTGGGTGATCACGATCCATAGTCTCAGTATCGACGCCGGTTACTGTAGTAAGCTGGGTTTGATCGACGTGACTATGAACACCATATATATGGCTCTTGGCAGCCGAGTATGAGCAGCTAGCCTGCATCACATCAGGTAGTGAAAGATGTATCTCTTCAGGCACGGATTCGACAGGCAAAAGATTTGACCGATGTCTGCCTTTTGAGTTCTTGGCTTTCGTTCAGATGAGATGTCGACGTTCCATCACGACTACCCCCTCCACTGTAATGGCGGCGGGGAGATGAAGGTTTTGTGGCAGTTTCGACATTCACCGCCCCTTTAATGACTTATGGACGTTTCAAACCTGAGCGAGCAAGCCTTTAACACGTACTCCTGATTGGTGTGGAACATTTCTCATATTTGGTGGAGATAATCTGCCCACGCCAGGCACTGTTTGAAGTCAAAGTCATCGATGGGGAGCGTGGATGCCGCGGGGGAGACGGAAACTCCCCGAACACAAAATCTTTGAGAAGCCGCCCCCAACGACACAGGTACGCATGAAGCTATTGCCCAGTGCCAGCCCGTGCCTGGAGTCTAACTTTTCCCTGCAAGCCCAAAGTTAGCAAGTCGCTCAAGAACCTTGGAAAGTGATTCAGGGGTTTGCTGAGACGATTCCGGAAGTTTGATATTATGACACGTATTGATGTTCCGTCGTAGGGCCGGACACCACCGACGGCAATAGTCTGTACAGCATATTCAATTAATTCTGCATTTAAATTCCACTGTTGCGAAATCGAGGCCTACAGAACGATATGCAGTACTACATGTACGCAAAAGGACCAATCTCAGGAAAGGTGAGCGGTGCGAAAAATGTTAGGCCTGGCCCGACGAGCACACACAAACTGCATCTTGAGAGGCCACGCTACCGATGTAAACTACCTCCACAGCAGCACATGCGGCCGTTGCTGCAAGGACTTCTGCCTTCTTTACCCCAGTGAGTAATGCGAACAATAGGGAGAATATAATGGTAAGAACGAGTGCGAGTCCCCTTCTGTGCACCATGTTCTGCATTAAGTACAAAACAAGAACGGAAAGATTTGGCAGAGCAGCGGAAAGAGTGGCTAGAATAATTTCACGGAGGCGTGAAACCTTTGCCTCGTCGTGTTTGCGGGTATCGTCCAGCCAGACCTTTTCACTGGACTTATAAGACGTTGATGTTAGCTGGCAGCATCCAGATACCAAGAGAGAGGCTGCCACGGGATGATTACTAACTGTGCTGTGTTTTCTGATCACCGTGTGGTACAAGTTGAGGACTTTTCCGTTCATAAACCTGGTAAATCGATCTGTCCCGACCGTGGATCCCCCAAGGCTGAAGGTATCATCTCGGTTGCTCTGGTTCCATGTCATTGCTTCGATGCCTGTCATGTCCAGGAACCCGTTCCCTCCTTGGGGGTTCTTCAGCCATGTCGTGAGAAAATGCCATTCGTCATCAGATGGTCGAGGTAATTTGTGTAGAGAAGAGGCATTTTGGATTGCTTGTTCTAAATTTTGACTTCAGATGAGATTTTTTTCAGGGCAGGAGAACTCATACGGTATTCCTCAAGCTTCTTCCTGATTTCGATCAAAAGTTCGTACTGTATGGAGTCTGAGTCCTCGGCGTATTGCTTCATAGTCCGAAAACTGGATTCGTATTCCCTCCTGATGGGATCGGTAGAGTTTCTGTCCTCTTCTCTGGTGTCTTCAAGTTGCTGCTCAAGTTCTTGAAGCTCCGACTGAAGACGTAAGAGGTTCATCATGCTGAGATAACCAAATTTCCGAAATATCGCCACCTCAGGCGACCTGGCGAACAGGTTGGCCAAATTGCCATACCCTCTTTCAGGAAATCTGCCTGAATCCTGGAAAGCGCTTCCAGTCAGGCCTCCGTCATTCTGGCTGGTATTCATCTGCAGCGAACGTGGTGATCTCCTCCCTTAATATTCGATGTAAGGGCCGATCTCTTGCTGGCAAGTCTGATCGGAGGTTTAAGGCTCATCGATAACAGTTGATTTGAAAGGCCATTTACTTGATGGACATGGATTTAACCGGGTGTTGGAATATTTACACTTGAGCCGGGTGAGATTCCTCGGACCCCGCACTTTAGCCGTATCTAAACTGATCAAAGCTGCATCTAACTACATTTCATGAGCGAATCCGAGCTTGAATGCCAAGGTCACTCCACACTGCCGTATGGAATTGGGTGGACATGTGACTTACGGAAGCCTCCCACTTTGCGCTATTTTCCGTCTCGGATAAAGGTCTTATCATGTACGAGCCTTGTCACTTGTTGAACACGTTCGCGATCGTCAACTTTCAAGAACCTCTGCTGATAGCCCCGCATCACCTAATATGGAACCATTGGGAGTCGCCGCATCGGTGATTGCAGTTGTAGAATCTGCTTCCAGAGTCCAGAGCGTGCTTCGAACCGCGCTGAGTCGCTCTCGTGAGAGCGATAGTGCACAAGAGAGTCTGCGTCGACTGGACGCCTCAATAACAATGCTCAAGGTCATGCATCTGGAACTTGATCCGGGCAATCTTTCCGCACGACTTGGGGCCGAGCCCGCTACTGATATGCTCAGGCAGATTGGAGATATTCACTTAGCCGACCTGAACATCAGTCTCACTTACCCCAGTGACATGAAGGCACAGAAAGAGTATCCCAGCCACGTGGCAGCATCGGCTGACAGGCTTGAAAAGGCCGTGCAGCAGCTCAGAGAAATTGAACAAATGTCAGCTAAATCTGGAACGAAATCATGTTTAGGAAAATACTGATAAATTGGCCTAGCTTCACGTTGCGGCGTATTGAGAAAATTGTCGTCAAATCCGAGGCACTCCATTCGAAGCAGGAGACAGAGAACAACAAAAGACAACAAGCTGTATCTGAGATTGGTCAAACCTTATCAGTACTCAAGTCGCATCTAATAACGAATGAGGGGACATCGGAAAATGATACTCAAAAGGCCTTGGACAACATTGGTCAAAGACTATCGGAAATCAGCTTACTGTTGGTGGAGGGAGAAAGTCCGGACCGAACGATAGACGAGCTACGAGCAGCACTTCAGTCAACCCTGGGCAGGTCTCAAGGATCTGACCACAACCTGGTCGTTTTTCCCTTTGTCATCCTAATGGCAGAAGCCGAAGATGTCATGGCTAGAGTCATACTCGACACCGGTGTCCAGGACAACTGGATCAATGCGAAGATATTGGAGAGAGCAAATATGGAATATGATGAGCTTGAAGGGGCGGGAAATTACGTTGGGGCGGGAGGAGCTCACTTCACACCTCTCGGTCAGGTAAAGCTGAGTTGGTATTCGAAAAACCAAGCACTCAGCAAAGTCTCGTATTTTTTGGTACTGGACAATTTGCCATGTGATGTAATACTCGGCAGCAAGTACATTTTGGCGAGCATGGATGAGCTCATAGAGCCAGTCTTGCCTATAAGGAACACCAACCTAACTAAAGGTCGCTCTTTCCCCTGTATTAAATGTCCTTGGACAAAACTTCTGACTTCAATTAGAGGATTACGTGAATCTCCAACGAACCGGAAAGGAAAATGGCGCAAAGAACGAGAGAATCATTGCTCTTCAGAGAGAGCAGAACAGAGCAGAGCGGGAAAAGAGACGGGCCCAAAAGGCCGACTCTCAAATGTCAACGCCAGGAAGCCCAGGCCCGTACACGGGTGTAGCAAACAATCTCCGTCGGAGTCCCACACTCTCGTCGAGACGTCAAAGTACGCTATCTTCGACTCAACCGTCGTTCCTTAACGACAATCAATCAAGCAGCTCAGGGGCCTTGCATTCCGCACTGTCATCTCAATCATCTGCAGCTCAGACCTACATGTATGCAGCAGAGTCTTCCACGGAACCACTACCTGCAACATTTTCTTCAAATACGTCGATACCTGAAGTAGGGGAACATGAACAAAGCAAAAGAATCTGAAGCTTGGGGACAAGTCAGATGGGACTTCTGTCATGGAAGCTCAAAACGTGACTCGTCTAATGCCTCTCAGCACTATAATGGGCTGGACTTGCACTTCCTATTCTTTGTATCCATCTCCCTAACAGCACTTTTGCATTCTTGTCTTCTCCTATTGTGTTTCCACGACTGGCGTACAAACATTAGTAAGTAGCCTCATTAACAATGAGCTTTACTTTGTAGAGACAGGGACAATTGTTAGCGGGTAGCAGGCGAGATTTTTTCCTCTCCAGCAAGCCCGGACAGATAACCTGAGAGAACATGAAAACCCCGATTGCTAGGTCCTCCTGTTAATTCGCTCATGTATCCATTACTTCGAAATATCAAAGACACTCAAAGCAATGACTAGGCGAAAGTAAAACAGGACTTGAGGATAATCGGGCCTTTACGGACCAAAAGGACGAACACCTCTTGCTCTCCTACGAGACCAAAGCTCGTCTAAGAGGTACGAGAACGCTCTGCATTTCCTGATCAGGCCGAAAGCTCGAGCATAGACTCTCAAATTTCACCGATACGAAGAAATCGTGAAATCTTTAATTGTTTACACAGCCGACTGCTAAGCGGGCTCTGCGTCGACCTGGTATCGGCCCGTCGCACTGACTACGAGCAATGCCCGAATGTAATGCCTTCAAAACTTCCTGTTTGGATATTAGCAGAAGAGAAAAATTGTCAAGTTCTCGTTGCAATCCACTGCGGCAGGTGCCAGGGGCAGCTGAGGGAGGCATTCTCTTCGTCCCAGCTTGGCGCTAGAGTGCCCGTGTACCGCATGTTTACTTGCATCCGTGTGCTCATCAGCAAACTTTGGGCGTAGGGTTGCCAGGACGCTATCGGATGATTTAGCGGCGGGTCAACGGCGACAAGAATACCAAAAATAATAGATCAAAAATACTGAGCTTCTTGCTCCTCAACACTTGCAAGCAGTAGCAGACAAATAACACAGTGAAATATGGGTGAGGCCAGGTGAACATCACGTGCAAGATGACCAGAGTAGACTCTCAGATAACAGAACGGCGAGGGGTCAAGCCGAGGTAAATTGGAAGCGTCAACTCTTCCTCGAATCATTTCTTGTGCGGGGGAAAGAGTAAGTTGGGTACCACAACGCACTAGGCGCCCGGTTGTGGCGCTTCAGTGAAGCTAAGATGCACCCCGCGAGCTTCCATTGTATTAGACCATGACCAAAGCCGATATATCCGTCCATCGTCGCAGGGAATGTTCCAACGGCGAGAGGTACAATGGTACAATAGATAGAAATGCTCGGACAATTTCTCTCGAGCGTGGGACTTTGGGACGGTTCAGACTGGCGGCTAACCCTGCGTTTCCTATTTCAGTAATTGTAGCAGCGCAACCGAACTCCAAGACCAATACGACATGCAATAGCACCGAGAATTGGACCATTCAATTCGTTCCCCCATCTGAGAAATCAGCAAAGAGCTCCCGTAGCTTGCTGATCGTCGAGCTCTCCTCAGAAAGCTTGCTCATAACGCCAGTCCCGCAAGACCCTCGTTAGAGTTGTTGTCACGGATCCGCTCCAGGATCTTCCACGCCGGTAGCCTCGTACACGTTGTGGTGCGCTCACACTTCATCAGGTATGATTCAATAATGCCGAAGACTGTTACTACTTCCACTTCAGTCCGACGTTTCTTAGCATATAAGCAGCTTCGTATCCAGACCCGACATTGAGATTTTGAGCCCTCCAAGTCATCAGCTTCCATCACACAATCCCATTCACTCTCTTCAAGGTCTTCAGTCTTTTCTTTCCTAATCTTTAGCAATACACTTCTAATTCAACAAAACTCCACCTGCCGAAACAATGCGCTCTCATATCCAGCAACTCGCTTTGGCTGCTGCTTTATTGGGGTCTGGTGATGCTGCGCCGGCCGGCCTTCTCGACGGTCTCGGTGTTGTTACTCAGCTTTTGGCTCTCCCGACCGACTATGTTTCCACTTTGACCGGGGTTCTCGGCACAAAACCGGGGAGCGGCGTTGGGGCCGGAGTCCTCAACGCCGGAGATCTCCAAACGAAGCTAGGTTCGATCTGGAACACCGGAAGCACCAGCAACTTCTACGAAAATATCCAGAAGCAAATCGGTCAAGGCCTAGTCCCGGGCAATTTACTTTCCAGCTTCCAGGGACTCCTCGGCACCGGCCTTTTGAGTAGCTTGGATCTGGCCAACAATGCCAACAAGCTCATCGCTCCCCTCAACGGGATCGACTCAACAAGCAACAACAACCCGGTAAACCCGGCCAAGCCTGTCTATCCCAAGAAGGGAGCCGCCGATGCGCCTTACACCCTCTCTGAGCAGCAGCTTCGCCAGGCCATCCACATACCCGAGACATTCACTTACGGCCAGAAGCCCCCGGTCATCTTCATTCCCGGAACTGGTGTCTATGGAGGAGAGGCCTTTAGCTCCAACCTGCTGAAACTTTTCACGAACGTCCCCTACGCTGACCCTGTCTGGCTCAATATTCCCGGTGCTCTCCTCGGCGACGCCCAGGTCAACTCGGAGTACGTCGCTTACGCCATCAATTACATCAACGGCATCAGCAACAAAAATTCGAGCATCATCTCCTGGTCCCAGGGAGGTCTGGACACCCAGTGGGCATTCACCCACTGGCCTTCCACCCGCAACGCCGTTGCCAACTTCTTCCCCGTCTCCCCCGACTTCCACGGAACTGTTCTCGCCAACGTTCTCTGCCTTGCGCCCGGCAATGGTGCCCTCGACGCTCCCTGCGACCCTTCCGTCATTCAACAGGAATATAACTCCGTCTTCGTCAACTCTCTTCGCTCCCGCGGAGGAGCCGATGCCTACGTCCCCACGACAACTTTCTATAGTGCCCTCCTTGATGAGGTTGTTGAGCCCCAACAGGGCACTGCTGCTTCCGCTTACCTGACTGATGCTCGCCGCGTTGGTGTCAGCAACATCGTCGTCCAGTCTGTCTGCCCTGGCCTCCCCGCCGGTGGCTTCTATGGCCACGCCACGATGCTCTTCAACCCCTTGACAGCCGCCTTGATCAAGGATGTTCTCCAGAGGGGTCCGGGTCCCGCCAAGGTTAGCAACATCAACCTCAACGAGGTTTGCAAGGATTTCATTACTCCTGGCTTGACCCTCGATGATGGAATTGCTACTGCTGGCTCGATTGTAGCTGCAGGTATTCGCTTGCTGGCTTACCTCCCGAAGCTTATCGCCGAGCCCAACTTGATGGCTTACGCTCGTGCCTAAGCGGAAATGTTATTCATACCGGGAGAGGATGTGACATTTTGCAAGGTCTCACTTTTCGATGCAATGAAATACTGTGCGCTAGAAGAAATACTGAGGAAGTAATTGGGAATGGACGGGACTGTAATTTTGATTTGTAAATTCGGAACTAGCTATATACTCATTGATCATGTAATTATAAACAAGCAGGTGCGTTGAGAAACATTGAATCTCCAGTAAATGTGATAAACTGCTCGACTATATTAGGGTATTGAAACTTGAACCAGAATCAATAACAAAAAATCATCATTGACCCAGTTGACATTTTTTTGATCTTGGAGATAAATGAGTCTCCCTTTCTGTGGCTTGAATGGAGCTAGCGAATTTATCCCTCACTGGGACAGAATTTCATAAGATCTAGGAGTTCTAGAGGACGAAATCACATCTTTGCATCTCTCCCAATGCCTGTCTGTCCAACAGCAAATTCCTTTCTGTCCTCCACTGATAACCTTGTCTCGGCGAGTTCACCGGTCTGTGATTGTTCCTCTACAGTTGCAAGGCTGTCGGCCTCTTCAACTGGAACGTGATCCCTGACTACAAGCCACGTAGGGTAAACGGCCAAAACTATACCTGTTAGCATAACCCTCTATAACATCATTGACTTGGCTTAGCTTACCCAGAAGAATAGTGTTGACAGCAAGTGGAACTCGTCCTCCCTTCCACTTCTGTGTGTTCAAGCCGAATGAGATAGCTTGAGAGAAACTCTCCTGACCTCTGAGGATACCAGAGAAGCGAGTAAGCTCGGAGATGTTGTCCGTCTTGGTGGCCAAGAGGTAGTAAAGCCAGCTCTGCAACGCTTGACGGGCAAAGTCCCACAATAAGAGCACAAAGAAGCCCTCGGTGAATCCCTTATCCTCCCAATCGTACGCAGGTGGATTGCGGGTGTACTTCTCCTGAATGACCCAGCCGTAAACCCACGCAATAATGTGCCAGACGATGACATAGTAGAAGCCAATGGTGATGCGCTTCTTGACGCTGAACTTCTTGTAGTCCAGGAGGGTGCTAATCAGCTGAGACGAGAGAAGGGTGCCAAAGTTGCTGACGAAACCGATGAGCGCGCGGGCGCGGATACCGAAGTAGTAAGACTGAAAGTTTCCGCTGTATTGATTGAAGTAGGCAGCCCAGAAGACGGGGAGAAGCAGCAGGATATCCTTCCGCTTCGACACGCGGAGGAGCTCTTTGAACTCGGCCTTGAAGGACTTTTCGGCTTTGATGATGACCTTGCTGCCGTCGGATCGTTGCACTTTTTCCGGGGGAGAGAGAGCGAGGGCAAGGGGCACACTGAGACATTGCAGCGCAACGAACACCAGGTAAGTCTGATATCCTACCTTGCCCTTCTTCTTTGCAGCTGCATTATTGTTGAGCGCCAGTACGATTGCGCCACCGACAAGAGGACCACCGGTTCTGAACCAGAGCCAAATGTTCATGTACTTGCCACGCTTAGCCGGCTCAGGGTATCCCAAAGCAACGGCTCCCTCGGCGGCCCAGAACAAGCCGGCAGAGATACCGCAGGCGGCGGCTCCAACAAGAACGAGCCAAACGTTACCGTAACGGTTGTTGGTGTACAGTCCAGCAGAGTAGAGAGGGTAGCCAACAGCTCCCAACAAAAGTGTTCTAGCGAGCCCGATTCGGTTCGCGATGGGTCCACCGAATAGGCACAGAAAGGCCATAAGCCCAAACACGAGCGCATTGGCAGCGTTGACGAGGTACGGTTCCTGGGCACCACCTGCTCCGAGAGCGTTCATCGCGTTCCACAGGCCGGGTGCCATGAAGCCTAGATGATGTAAGTCATTGAACGCAAAGGCCGTTCTCACAGAGTGCTCAATATCATACCGACTCCTCCAATAACGAAGGCATTGAAGAGACTGCTGTGGTACCACACACGCTTCACCGGTGGGCCGGAAGCCGCATCTTGGACGTCCGACGACACGGACTTGGGTGATTCTTCCGCCATTTTGGTGGATTCTTGGGCTCGAGATTGAAAAACATCATGCAGACATGTTGGTAGAGAATTATCATTCACTTATATGATCCGCCGTGTCTCGGCTACCATCGCCACTTTGACGATGTACTAGGCATCTCTTGTCCAAAAGTTCCTCCAAACTTTTCTCATAGGATGAATTCCTCATTCTCTTCAAGAATGACGAATATGCTAGTGCAACATTGAATCCACCATTCAAAGGACAACCGTGCAGCTCATTCGGTAGTTGATCGTGGAGGTCCACTAAACTCCGCGTGGATCCGCGTGGACTCCTACCCCTCGGTCGAACTCCGTCGGAATATTAACCATAACTGGTAGGTCTATCGTGATTTCGGTTGGGAATAATACGCAAAATTGGATACACAACTCGCGTAGGAATTAGCGTCCTAGAAGTAATGAAGAAAGATGCGAAACAAAACTCTTCTTCAAAATCACGCTTATGAGCGGGACAAAGTTGATCATAGTAACGTTAACCAAAGCTCATCTCAAGTCATTCTAACAAGAGGGTCGAATAATTTCAGTCAACGTTGCATGGAAAAAACTAGGTCCCTATAAGCCCCTGCGGCAATGTCGCATCAACTCTAAAGCTTTGCTAGGACAAGCTTCTTCTCCTCTTCCTTCTTTTTCAACTCCTGCCACCACTTTTGCTTCAGTGCTAGGACGCCAAAGCCCAGCAACGCCCACTCATCCTCCCATGCAGGTAACTCGTAGGCATCAGTACCCGATGCAGGAGGTCCAGCAACACCCCGCAAAAACTCAAAATATTCCGAAAAGTCGGGCTTGATCTCGTGAAACTGGGATGTCGGTCCCTTGTACTGCAGGCGCTTCACCTCCCACTCGTCTTGCTCCCGCGGCGAAGGCAGCCCACCTCCCCGGTTTGCAAAGTAGCGAGCCACAGCAACGGCTTGGTACTCATAAACACGGAACGAGATGGCTGCCTTGACTTGTCCGACGATTGTAAGCGAAGGGTCCGCAATGTTGAAGACGTGTTGGTAGAATCCCGAGAGACGTCCACTCGGCGTAACGGGATCTGGACGCAAGAATGGGTAGGAAAGTCGATATCCGGTACCAAAGTGGACTTTCTCGACGCCGTCCACTTCGCTACCGTCCGAAAATGCGACTTTGACGAGATTGTCTGACCCAACAGACACGCGGGTAATTTGCGGCTTGCGAACGACGTTGGGGAGTTCCCATGCGTCTTTGAGAACCTCGTTGTAGCTACGTTGCGAGACATAAAGGGGGCCAGAGACTACGCTGTGAATTTCAGAGACTGTGTCGGACGCAGATACGTTCCCACCGACGACCACGACTTTCTGAGTTCCTGTTGTCAGTCATTGATTTGGTTGGTGGGGATGGATCGACATACCTTGTCAACGTAGTCTTCCGGAGACCTGTATGCCTTGGAATGCTCAAATCTCTGAGGCAAAGCAGAAAATGTCTCCTTCAGTCCGTCAATGTTTGGAATAAATGGCACCCCGTAGTGCCCGGTGGCCACGATAACCGCGTCAAAAGTGTCTTGCCACCAGTAATCTCTCTTCTGATTTTTCAGATAGTGCTGAGTCTTCCTCAAAGTCAATTGCCATTTCTTGCCCACTTTTTCCACGCGCTCAACGTGCGTATTGAAAGTAAACAAGTGCGAGAACGGCTCTGCGATCTCCTCGAGGTAGCCTGCAACTTGCTCGTAGGGGTGGGACGGGTTCCTCTTGCCGAAGCGGTTGATTGACGACGCTGAGTTTACATCCGGGAAAGGCTTGTAGGTGAATGCCATGACTTGCGAGCCTACATTACTGTCCAGGGTAGGGTAGAGACCTGTCCGGGCTGTGACATTTTCAGATGCAGGCGGCAATGACTGTGGCAGCTTGGCTGGGATTTCTCGCACAGGCTGTGCCGAGAATGGTGAGAAAGGTTCAGGTTGCTCATCGTAAAGCCTGGAAGAGGTATGTTAGGATGAAACTGCGCCTCTGATGCAAGATGCGTACCATGTGCCACCAATTTTATCTCTTCTATCGAACAATTGGATCCTGTTAAAAGCATTCTCCTCGCTTAAAGCCTTCACAGCAGAGATGCCGGAAGGCCCAGCACCGATTACTGCAATGCTAGAATATCGGGGAGCCATGTTCTTATGTCAAGTCCGACCGGTACCGGGTTGTGGGAAATAAGGAACGGGTAGAGTTGCGGAAGCTTGTTGGATGTATTATGCCAAGTGAGGAACATATATTCTGAAAAGGTTCTGACGAATCGGTGTTGCATATGACGTGCTTGCACAACAGGCCGACCACGATGGAGATAGCGACAGTTCCACCGAGGGGCTTATCGTCCGGTCATTCATCGGAAATAATACATTTCATCATTTTTTCCCAACGTGAATATCATCATCTCTTTGTATTAGAATTCATCTACCATTGGAATCCGAGCGTTGGATTAAGCAATGAAGTGTGCAGGAGGCCTTGGCAAAGCACATCATTCTAGTCTGTACGTCAATCAATCAGATCGACTATCTGTCTCCTTTCACTAAGATATGAAAATTGGAATGTATTCATGGTTCCTTCACCCGAAATCCTTATCCAAGTGACGTGATGGACGAATGCTTACCAGCAACAATTGGCGCGATTCTTCCCGGTCATGACGCAACGAACCCAACAGACGGCATCGTCACTAGAAAGGTAAAGATCATGTCGATTTTGTAGCTAAAATCAAAAGTTAATTCCTTCTAGTCGCAAATTAGCAAAAGGCTCTTTGACTCGATTTTCCATGCATCCTTTCTCAACATGTTTTGCCCATCGAGTGATTCGGGTCTGACATTTTTCTGATTGACATAAGATCTTGTCTCTCCTGGTTATTCTCCCTTCTCTCTTGGATAATATCGAAGAGGTCGACGGGAGCCAGATTAAAAGTTGTCGCGAGAAGCGCGTACTGAAGGAGCTGGGACAGCTAATCAATCGAATTGACTTGTTTACTAGAAAACAGGACGAAATTGGCCATACTGTTTTTTGTTCCCAAAGTAATTCCTGTGCTGTTTAGTTACTACCACATGTAATGAAAGACCAAGAACAATGGGCGGCACACTCTGGCTTCAATTTCGGATAAGGATTGTCTTCGGATTCCAAATGAAGTGAGCCTATGGTCGGTAATACCTAGTCACACATGGTTTGAACTGAAATTGTATTTATATGATATATGTACTCAACTACTCGAGGTTCAGCGTGTTTTCTTCTCGTCGCCGTGATCTATCCTATTCGCAGGTTACCTGAGCTACTTTCACATGACTTCACTCAGTCTGTTCTCTTGAACGGTTTCCTGGCCCTTTTCTCGCTTTCATCATAGCCTGATACGTCGTGCAGTTGAATCTTGACTGTAATCGCGAGCAATAGATCAGATGTCTTGTACTCTCCCAATGAACAAAGGGCAGTGGCCTTCGAGATGAATGATTCCGGTCCAAACCTCGTCCTGACCTTGCTCCTTGGACAGAGTAGTCGAGTATAGCGGCCCTTACACCGGCTTTACTGCATGTAATAAGATATCGAGCTTTACAGTCTTTCTCTGTTTCTTTACTGGATATTGAAAACAGCAGTCATCTGTCAATTCGACGATGTATCATGAATCAGAAGGGCTCTTAAATCATGCGGACCTTGAGTGCCGCGCAAGAATCGAAGCTGTGTATTGTTGTAGTCTATGAGCCTGAGCGACAAATTGTATACCAACGTCATCCACTAGATGCTTAATGTGGGAAAGCACCAAAAAGCGGTCGGGCATCACAGGGGGCTCCGAAGTGGGCGAAAGCTCTTGAGTCTTGAGCGGCGGCGGTGGGCCCCGCATCGGCAGCTTTCGGAATAGCGATGCTCCATCGACACGTGGCAGCCCGAGCTGATGCGCCCCGCTCCAGCTCCCGCTACCGGCGTCGACCCGGGCCTGCGGTAGGCGAGGCGACGCCTGATTTGATTCTTCAACGGTGGAATGTGACGGAGTATGCGGGCAACGCTTGAAAGGGGGCGGGGTTCTTGTCCGGATGAGTTACCGAGCCTTGCGTTGATCCATGATCCTTCATTCATGTTTAGATAGCATCAAATTCTCCATTTCACTATTACCTAGAACATGGGAAAGTGAAAGAAGCTCGAGCACTGCTACGGTGCTCCAAGTCCATCATCGGTGTATCCGTGTCAAAGGAACTCATCCGGCTGATTTTGAGTTCATAGGTACATGTACATAAGGATTATTACTCATCACCTGGTTGGGTTTTCAAAAGCAAACGCGAGCAATGTGACTTATCGCAACCATTTTTTCCAGTTATTAGTAGTGAGATTGCTTTCGGCGGTCTTTGCGGGCGAATTTTTGTCGCAGTTGGACCGTTCACACCCAGAAAAGCTTTCACATGCGTCATTTCCCCCCTGTAGACGCATGTTTTCTGCGCCGATGAACCACCCCCATCAAATCCTCAAAAAGGACCCCCAGCTGAACCAAAACACAGCTCAAGACGAAGGAAGAACAACATCCCCAAAAGGCCAGGGGTCCAAGCTCGAGGTCACATTGTCACTTGGAGCCCCCTTGGAGAAACTGTAGGTACTGTGAAAGGGAACTGCAGGACTTGCGAATCGATGGAGGGCGTTGGACGCCGCGAGCCAGTCGGGGAGGCCCGTTGGTTTTGGGCCCTCGGTCTCCCGGCTCCACCCCGGGAAGTTCTCTAGTTTTCATTAGGCAGTCCTCACGGCAAAGACGGGCTCCATAAAAGTCAGGCCACCTCGACTCCATCCACCTTGAATCATTCCCTCCTTTCTCGGGCCTTCCAGCCATCACTTGACATGCCTCGTTTGCGGCAGTTTGACATGGTCGCCGAGTACTCGGATGCGCTTGATTCGCTTGACAAGCTTCTGCTTTGCTGTTCTCCTCACGCCGGTGCTGGTACTACTGTCCGAGGTTATGTTGAAGCCCCCGGCCAGTGACGAAAACTATTAGGAACTTACAGTTACAGCAAATATGAACCAACAACCTCCACGTAGAATAGGTACTTGGCAAGCGGATGTACACTAATTATGTGTTACTCGTGTTACTCGGCGTGATCCTCTCAAAGCCCTTGTTGCCTCCCCTCCATGTCGCGTGAGCCAACCAACCCGTCCAAGTCCGAGCGTGCTCGTCGGAGGACCCACCTTGCCGCCGGGCCGCTGTCGGTGAGGTAATCACTTGGGGAGGTTCCCAAAAGGGTCTTTCAGGTATCATCCCCGGGTTGCCTCTTGAATAATAATTTCTGCCCGTTTCTTTGCGGAAATTCCTCGAACTTCCTCTCCTACAACTCTTTTTTTCTTTGCCTTTTTCCTTCACCGTGTTCATTCCTCAATAGATCAATCTCCTCTCTCTTTTCGTTTCCATTTACGACAGATCGCCCATATAGACCCAGGCTATTATATTTACAGAATCGTAAAACCAAGTAAGCCGCGACCGTACCCCCCAAATCTCCCTCCCAATCCTCGCTCGGGCCAAGATACCCCGCGAGGTCGCAGTCGCATTCGCTGACCGGATCCGCGTGACTGCAGATTCCGAGCAAACCGAATAGCCCCGACAAGGAGGGAAAAGCACAACATTTAAATACCACAAAATCACCATAAAACAAACTGCCACAATGGGCCTCATCACGCGAGCCATCTCTCTCACCAACTTTGTCGTCGCCTCGTCTGCCCTCGGTTTCCAGGTCTTTGTCCTGTATCCCTGGCACGAGACGCTGTCCCACGACTTTGAGGAGCTCAAGAAGGAACATATCCGCGTTCTTGATTATGTGAAGGGCGTCGACGCCGGCCTGAGAAAGGGACAAGGCGGCGCACCTGCTGGCCAGTCCATTTTGGAGAGATTGGGCTACAAATGAGAGAATCAATCGCTCATCCCCCGTAGCCCGTAGACTTTTCGTTTTTTTTTTTTTTCTGGGGTCCAGTAAAGGGTCGGTCGGTCTGTCTGTCTATCCACGTTATCCTTCATTTCCACGATTGCATGCGATACTCCCTGAGAGCGAATTTAAAAGAGCTTATTCCCCGAAGTCTTCAGCAGCCTTGATTATGTGATCGTCCCTCAGCATTTCAGCCTAGTCTGGTGAGTCCATGTCGTTCGGTGATGAAGGCTGACTCCCGATCGGCAACAGCGTCGCTCGCGCGGATACCTCAAATCTTTGCGGCATCCGTTCAAGAGCGGACACATGTAGTTAACGTGCCTCGCACCCCTGTTCATGCATGCTTTCGACCGAGCTCGAGACAGTACATCTCATGCGATGAGATCGCCTGTCGCAACAAAACTCACTCATGCCATCGACAAGACAAGACAAGACACGACAGTACGTCACGTGGGGCGAGACCCGCTTCACCGCCGGCAGGTACCTACCTACATTACCTCAAAGCAGCTCCGGAGCCTGCTCCGAAGCTGCACGAGCGAATCGCCTCGACGAAAAGCGATCAAATCCGAGCGACTCGATGCATCACAGGTACTTCGCTACACTGAATGAGTGACTCATAACCTGCGGTACCTCAACCCGATTTGGTTCATCGAGGGCGGTCAAGAGGCCGGCATTACCACCTTCGATCTCAATGTCCTGGAGGTCTCATGAGCATGGCTCTCATCTCATCGAGAAGCGCGAAACCCCTCGAACAGAACTATAATCGGCTTGAGGGAACGCGATCGCGGTTTCTGAAGATGAATACACGGTACACGGTCACGGTGTTCAGATACGGGGTTTATTGACTCATTTGATCTCATTTAGCCTGACCAGGCTGCTCTCAAGCAGTTGGCAAGTCTCAGCTATGCTAGGGTATCGCGAATTCCATGGTGTCGCATCAATTTCCATTTGCTTTGCCCCGTCGATTCCTTCCGTATCAGCACGTAACGCCCCAAGGTGCTTCGTCGATTCTGCCCAATCTCATCACGCAACTAGTAACTCCTCAATTGGCAAATCAATTCGAATGTGTCGCAAAGTAAAAAGCCGTCATTGAGGCAATGTGGGCAATGCGTCATGCCAACTCGTCTAGACGTAGCTCTCAGCCTCAGCGGGCCAGGTAGCGACCCAGGCGACGAGGAAGATGAGCAGCCACATTATGAGCCAGGTGGCGTGACGGCCGGCGCTGCCAAAGCCAAGGATGGCACCGACGAGGATGCCAGCGTGGAGAAAGGCCGTGACGAGCAGGAAGATGTCGAGGTGCCAGCGACCCTGGGAAAACAAAATTTTTGATTAGCAGTGGTCCTCTAATCTCACCAGACTCCACCTCATCTCATACAGGTACTTACAATCATGACGCCCAAAACCTTGCGACGACCCTCAGCCTGGCCGATGACGGCAAGCGCCCAGGCAATGAAGAAGAAGCTAAGAACTCCGAGGATGATGTCGATGATCAGGCTGACGATCTGCGTGTGGATGATATCGTTGACGACGCCAAAGATGGAGATGGCAGTGCGGATACCCAGAATGATAATCATGCAGATGCGGCGAAGGAGCACAGCCTTGTCGGAGGTCTTGAGGTTGTACGCCTCCCAGGAAAAGGCCCAGCAAGTGCGCATATTGGGACACATGCGGTTCTGAACGGTGCCCTGGCCGGCAGTGGCACCACCGGCGGCGGCGCCCTGCTGATCGCCGTACGCCATGATGACGCTGTTGCCGAGGAGGGGCTCGAGCTCGTCGTCCGAGTCGGAGGTGAAGTCAAAGGGCTCGAGCTGGCTGCGGTAGGTGATCTCGGGGTATCCGCCAAAGTAGAGGAGGGCAGGATCGGTGCCAGGGGGCGGGGGAAAGATGAGCTGCGAAGGGTGAGGCATGGTTGGGCTTCTTATATTCCCTTCCCCCACAGACGGGACGGCCACAAGCGAAATGGGGAAAAGTGTCTTGGTGTTTGCGGATGGGGATCCTTGTGCTACGTGGCGCAGCGGAAGTTGTGCGAGGGTTTGGAGTGGTGATGGGTGGGAAGAAGAGGATCGTTGGTTTCCACTGCAGGGGAGGCTTGCTAGCTTCGCCCAGGAAATACATGGTGGGTTTGTTTATTACAATTTTTCTCAATTGGGCGAGAGCTAGCTTGGTCTTCTTCTTGAATAGGCGGGTGCAGTACCTCTACTGTCCAGTTGCTCTCGCCTGTTGGGGTTGTTGACGAGGGCATCACGACTAAGCAAGGGTTGTGAGTTTGGAGTGTGAGACGGGAGTTGTCCAGTCTGACTTTTGACGGCTCAACTCGGGACTTGATGGGCTGGTGAGGACTTTCTTCACCAAGACAAAGAATTCAACACAATCAAGTGGCTGCAGAGTGAAACGTTTCATGGCAGGTTGCACGGCAGCTACAATCTTTACCACAATTATCACATACAAAGACTATGTCAGTCTATTCGTTATCTTTGGGGCTTGAAACCTGCTGTTGGTTTATCTGGGTAACCCCCCAAGCTGCATCCACATGGACCGACACCGAAGCATGGGTCTCCAGTCGCTTTTAAGCTTATTCCAGCCGTCAAGAGATAACACGCCACCGCGGATCATCTGTTACCTTCCTAGGCGGCCCTCTTAATCTGACGACTTACAGTCATAGATCGGTTGAAACGCGACTGTGACAGCCACAGAATCCCCTCCGTTATTGACAGCCAACCTCAAGAATGAAGGCCCAGTTGCCCTTTGATTTCAGGGGATTTGACCCCCAACTTGGCGACCTCAGCCCTGTCCACTGTGGGGGCCGTCATTAGGCAACGGCTCTCGGAAGCTCTGGCGCCTTGGCATATGATCCTAACCATCAGGTAGGGATTGTAATTGCCTGGCACCAGCCACATCCTGAATCCTTCACAGTGAAGCATTCCAGGTAGAGAGACGCAGGACTACCCAGGGTGAAAGTCTGCTGCCTGAAAGCTATCGGATCCTACTGTAGGACTTGGGAAGAGAAGAGCTCGTACAAGTCCTAGCCTGGGATCAGACTCTGTCCATGTCGGCAGGGGCTTGAAAATGGCTCAAAGCATGTTGTCATGAAGTTCCATCCCGCAGATTTGGGCTTTGGTTATCAACATTGTCTTTGATTGATAGTATCAAGGCTGGGGTTTCTGCATCAAGATCGGGGCAAGCCGGCCAGCCGCCGTGCCCAGGGGGCCCCCAGCCCTGCACGGACACATCTGAAATCCAGCTCTGATGCTTCAATATCGTATCCCGGAGCTCGGAGAAGACAGTCGCCCGTTCTCCCTGACCAGCTAATCCTGGCTTCCCCACGAGTCAGATCCACTCTGCATGTGAAGACACAGGAAGCCAGTTCGTTCGATCGAGGCACACACTTCATCAGGGAAATGCAAGGACTCGGACTGGCTAGGTAGATTTCAGGTTGTTGGTAGCTCTGATGGGCACTGAGAAGTCCATATCTTTGGTTACCCAGTAGCACCTTTCCTCCAAAACGCCGGGGCGGCAGATAACGATTCAAGTAGGGTATTACCGAGAGTATTGTTCTGCGACTGAAATATATAAATTCAACATCTGTGCATGATGCTTGCTGTATGGAAACCCCAAAACTTGCTCTGAACCAATGGTATACGTGAACTGAATTCGACAAAACTAAAATCCTCTTTCCCATTCCTCCGGCCGATCGACGCTTCTATGCTGAAGCGGTCTTCTCAATCTCACTGACACCCGCCATGGATTTCTCATCGGAAAGCCCGTCATTCGAGTGCGTTCTGCGAGTCAGGCCCGCGACCTCCGTCTTTATGAACTTGCGCGCCGGGACATGCTGGTCAAACAGAATCTCGAGCTCGCCGTAGGTGCGGCCTCTGGGCTCGGGGAGACGGAACCACGTCCAGACGAAGCAGATGGCGCAGCTCACCGCCCAGAAGAAGCCGCTCTTGGCCCCCCAGTTCCACGCGGAAGGGTTGAGCATCAGCGGGGTGAGGACGTTGGTCGTGATGCCGACGATGTTGTAGAGGTTACGCGCGAGCACAACAGTCTTGGTCCTCAGACGGGTCGAGCTCAGTTCAGAGACGAGAGAGTAGCAGACGGGGCCGACGGTGCAGTCGTACATGAAGGTGTAGACGAGGAGCAAGCTGCCAATGGCCCACTGTGCAGCGACATTGGACTTTCCGGCCAAGGAGGCGAAGCCGATGGCTAGGAGGATGGCGCACATGATGCCCTGGCCAGAGAGGTAGAGCGTACGTCGGCCAATGTGCTGCATCAAATACCACGAGAAGACGGTGCCGATTGCGCCGAGCGCGTACTGGGCCAAGGACATTGTGAATGCGTTGTCCTTGGCCATGCCTGCTTGCTGATAAAAGTATGTCGAGTATCCCATAAACGTCGAGCCGCAAAGAGTCTGGATAGCCCACACCACACAGACAATCTCAGTACGGCGGAGGTCGACGCCCTTGAAGCAGTCGATGTAGCTTGTTCCGGTCTGAGCAGCCTTCTCCAGCTCATTGGTGTGAACCATCATGGAGATGGTCTCGTCGGGGTTGAAGTTTTGCTGTTGGTTGCGGCTGGTGAGACGGAGCAGAGACTTCTTGGCGTCTTCGAGGCGCTCCTTGCGGATGAGCCACCATGGTGATTCAGGGGCGAAGAAGATGCCAATCATGAGTGGGACGGGCCACATCCACTGCAGCGCGAAGGGGATCTTGTATCCCCATTCGTCCGTGCGGGAGATGACGCCTCGGAGGACACCGCTGGCGATGAGTTGGCCCATGACCCAGCAGAGGTTGACGTAGGTGGTCTGGAAAGAGAGTCAGTGATTAGCCAAATGCAGAGCTTTGGCGTGGAACGTCCAACTCACAAGATAGGCTCGGAGATGTGTGGGACAGACTTCGGAGGCGTAGGAGACGGTCAGGGTCTCGAAGATACCCCATGGGATGCCGATGAGGATCTCCCCAATCAGGAGCTGGACAAGGGTCTGGGAGAAGAAAATGATGAAGATGAAAGACGTGACGCCAATGAGGCCACCAATCATGGTCTTGCGGTATCCGAACCGCTCAGCAATGATACCATTGAGGAACAGGCCGGTGATCTCGCCGACAAGAGCGCCGTTGCTGAGACCAGCCTGCCAGGCCGCCGTCAACTGATAAGTGCCATCGGGCTGGATATCACCAAACTTCTTCTGGAAGACGTCGTAGGCGAACAAGTTGCCGATGAGGGTCTTGTCGAAGCCCTCCATGACGACGGCGGTGCTGAAGAAGAGCGACCACATGACGGCCTTGGGGTAGAGCTTGAGCGATTGCATGAGGCCCATATTGAGCTCGGCCTCGGTCGCGTTGGCCGCTTCCCGGGCGAGGCCAGCGACGTCGGCATCGGCGATGGACATGCGGCGGGCGGTATCGGGGTTCATCTGGACGGTTTCGGTCGGGGCCTGCGCCGCGGACGAACCGATGTGCACCATGGCTGCGGTGTGAATGGGGGAGAATGTAGAAAAGATGAGGATCTGATGCCAGCCACAATGAAGTTGATGAAGCTGCTGATACTGCTGGTTCAAAGTCGTGTTGAGATTGGGGCCATCAGATCATCTTATATCCTCCTGAATGTTTGCTCAATCAACCTGATTCCGCGGGCCAAGGGCTGGTGATAATAGCTTTCCCAAGAGAAGCAAGGTAGTCGATTGAGCAGCGCGGCTTCTCACTGGCTCGCTCAAATTGAATTCCAATGTGGCGGAAAGAAGATACGTATGATGTTGAAGTTATGGACCAACCGTGTCTTGGGTCGCCGCACTTCAATGCGAGAAGAACCCAAGACCCGAGTTTCCGCCCTTCCCCCCCCCCTAAGACCCAAGGGTTGGAATCCGGGACCAAGGACCACGCTATGCCCCACTTTCTCCGCGACCCATTGGCTCGCGCGGGGAAGTTTGCGTCTAGGGATGGATGGTCTGGGGTTGGAGATGCAGCTTGACTGGGACGGTACGTGGTTGGATTGACAGCGAGCTGTCTCGAACGGCTGGGTCGCATATGGATGTGGATGGGTCAGGTATTGGAGAAGAAAAAGGGGGGGTGGCCACGACAAAAGGAGAAAGAAACCCACCCCAGTAACATTGCTCAGACATTAGCAGACCACTCGCCTCACCCAAGTGAGAAAAAACTGTCAGCCCAAAACTCTAAAAGACAGACCAGACAGTGAGACCACTGACCAGCTGGATGTCTAGACTTGCCGGAGAGAGTGCTCGCCGGCGACACCGCGTATATCCCTGCGCACATGTGGCGTACCTGATGCTGCTTCAGGCCACCGAGCCTTTCCCAACAGAGCAAGGCTTGCCAAAGGCCCGGCGCGCGATCCATGTCTGACGAATAGCGGCAGAGAGAATATTCGGCGTTTCCACCCACCGGCAATTGGGGCGAAGATTTCTGCGAGATTTCGTATGACCAGCCGGCCAATGGGTGTTCTTACCTGACGTCGCTGAAGCTAGGCACCCCTGCCATGCAGTAGGTACAATACACTTGCAGATGGGATGATTGTCGCTGTGGAGTTTCTGGGGTTTGTGTTGGCTGTTCCTGTTGGTTGAATTCTTTCACTTCTGCTACTTGGGGGCTTTTCTCTCTAGAGAGATCTGGCGGCGATCGACTTCCAACAGACAAGCGGCTTTTCTTAGAAACCGCCTGCCTCCCCCCGGTGGCTCATGGGATGATGATCGAACGGCGAACTTTCCAGTCTCCCGCAAATACATTGCGAATAACGCGGGACATAAGCCGGGAATTGGCGCCAGAGTTCCAGCGATTGGCCAGTACCGTCTTCACGCATCATTGGTCTGGTCTCCTGGAAGAGCACGGTGGCATGGCGGAGAGAGGGAAGAGGGAAGAAGGTTGAGCGGGTGAGCTTGTTGTCGTCTTTCGACGGAGCCCCCAAGACTGACCGATTTCCAAGTCCGCAAAACTTAAAAAGCCCTCGGGGATATCACGCGGGGGGCAGAACATCGCGGAAATTAAGCTCCTCTCAACAATTCCGTATTCTTTCTGCCCGATCTTCTCGGCGCGATGTCGGCCACCCATAGGCTCCTGGGTAATCGTCGAGACAGTAGTGTAGTGGCGAGACTTGACAGGCTGACAGCATTTCTCTCCCCGTGGGGTTCCTGCGGGGTGAATGAACGGGAGTCGGGAGTCGGCGATGGGCTCGAGTCTGGGGTTGGAACTTGTAGTGGGAACAAGACAAAGCAAGCACCCGCGCGAGGACCAGTTACTCCCCTTTTCCACCTGCCACGTTGTCGTCATTGCTCGCTTGTACGACTTCCCCCGCAGCCCTCCGTGATCATCCCGGGCCTTGGCCCTCCAATCATCTCTAAATGCGGAAACCTGGCTCAAGGGCCGGTTCTTTCACGTGCTTGGTCATCTGCGATGAGTAAGTAGATGGTCAAAACTTCTGCCCTAATATGCCGTATTTACGTGACATAACGGATCGTATGTCGATTGCTCGCTTCTCCCAGGGCGGGCGATGCATTTGTCGGCTCTGCCAGTTCTTTCGAATGGCAGCCGCAGATCAGACCAATCCCAATTGTGAGGCGTTCTCGGCAGAACTCACTATCCTGCCGTTGAAACATGAACCTAATGACTAGCTATTGAGGCTGACGAGGGCTACCATACAAAACTGCCCGTAAGTTACAGGGATGGCAAGACTATCCAGCAGTAAGGCCATCGCGACTCCGTGCAGCTCGCACGGCAAGTGGAGCTTTTGCCGGGTTCGGCCTTGGCTCATCTTTAATGCAGCATTACAACGGGGCAGCTCCAGGTGCCCGGGCCCGTCAGGTCTCCACTTCCCCGGCTCTCCTATCTCCTCGGCCCTTCAGCTGTCTTCCGAAGCAGTTGGGGGCCCGGACCCGTCCAGCGGCACGAAGCTCCGGCCCACACCAACATTCAGCAGAAACAGCAGAATGCCAAACCACCCACGCCGGGAGCGAATAGTGAGTGTTGAATGACTAAGCCGGTAGCATATACCAAAAGCCCATGTAATATATCATATCAGCCTTGAATCCTGTGTTCGTGCTCCTGTCGCGGAATCCTTGCCTGCAACCAAACAGGTATTTCACCATGCAACAACAAGGCACATAGCTGTGGTGTTCTGGCCTAGGAAGACGGCCGAGTAAACTATGCAGAAGCCCTAATATTGATCGACGTGCCTCCAAGGGATTGTTCAAAATGACCGACAACGCGATACGAAGAGCTCGGCCACGAGAAGGCTGGCTTGAGCTTCTCTTCTTCAGCAGAATGGTTGGCGGTCAAATCTCGGGCCTGGCGCCTTGCGAGTTTGTTGCTCCAATGATCCACGAAAACATTCAGCAGGCTTTCATACGATCCCCCCAGCAACTTATGGAATGCAACAACAGAATTTAAGCTGCCCTTGCACATCAATTAACGAGGCACATAATCTATGCCAGTGTCAACCGTCGCTCTGTCTGGAAAGTGCAATATTCAGTCAAGTAGGATCAAGACCATCTTCGTATTCGTGTTCACGGTTCTCGGATCAAAGAGGCACAGACAGACTGGACCGGCGCTTTTCCTCAATTGGCTTGAAAACTGGGTCTTCTGAGGACTCTACGGAACCAGCAATCTCACCAGAAACCATGGCAATGGAGAATGATGCCTGCACGAAGGATGCGACATCTTAAAAGAAATCCACAAATTCCATCAAGATTCCCTATCGATTGAAGACGCGGATCTACGGGAGCGAACGGGTTGTTGCATTCAATCATCTTCGTGCTCCACCGTCTTTCCCATTTGGGCAGCGTCGACGAATCAGAGAGTCTCTTGAGCCGTGCCCAAGGTGACGGTTCAGACATCCACCAAGCCCTGAGAAGCGCATTCGTATTCGGATCCGATTTGGTCGAAGGCCTTGTCACGTATTCGTGTCTATGATCTCAGCCTGCTGTATTGTGTAAATGATAGAAGCTAGAGATTCCGATTATTTGATAGATGAGAGCTAACATATAAAAACAGAGAAGACGCTCATGACATGATTGAACGACAGCAAGCTGCAATCCCTCTTCTTTCACCAAGCCGCGTCAACTTTTCGGCGATTGAAAAGCACCACTAGAGATATCCGTTTCCCCTAGCTTGAACATCGACGCCACCTGAAAATTACGATTCCCTACAATGGTTGGAACGGTCCCAGAGGAAGGGCAAATGCTCTTGGCAAGAGATGCTACGTTTGAGAGAATTCTTCACAAGGGGACATCCAAAGATGTCGGCATGTCTGCAATGTTGAAGAAAGACTACGAGGCACAGAAAGCAGCTACAGACGAGTATTTCAGTCATTGGGACAACAAGAGCGCACAAAAAGAAACGAAAGAAGACCGGGAAGTAAGTCTAGCATTGTGGCCAGCACACTACTTCACTTTGCCTAACAGTTCGTGTCACATAGGCTCGAGCAGCAGACTACGCTTCCCTGACCCGACAGTAAGCCCTCAACATCCATAATAACGTCGTACATGTTCCCTGTCTAAATGTCGTCTCATCTAGATACTACAACTTGGCAACTGATTTCTACGAGTATGGCTTCGGCCAAAGCTTTCACTTTGCTCGGCCTGCTGCCGGCGAGTCGTTTAAGCAGAGCATCGCAAGACACGAACACTACCTGGCCCACGTCATCGATATCAAGAAGGAAATGAAGGTCCTGGACGTCGGATGCGGCGTCGGTGGACCTGCTCGGGAGATTGCCAAATTCACGGGTGCATACGTAACTGGTCTCAACATCAACGAGTACCAAGTGGAGCGCGCCACAAGGTATACTGCGAAGGCGAAACTGGATAAGCAGGTCCAATTCGTCCAGGCCGACTTCATGGTAAGACATTTATTTCGCTTTGAAACAAAATACCTCTACAAATCCGACTGACACCAAAATCTCCACAGAACATCCCCTTTGAAGACAACTCCTTTGACGCGGTCTATGCCATCGAAGCCACCGTCCACGCCCCGTCTCTGCAAGACGTCTACTCTGAAATATTCCGAGTCCTGAAGCCCGGCGGCGTGTTTGGTGTGTACGAATGGGTCATGACAGAAAAGTACGACAATGAAGACCTCCGCCTGCGCAAGATTCGTATCGACATTGAACAAGGAGACGGCATCGCCAACATGGTCAAGGCATCCGAGGCAGTGCGCTCTTTCCAGGCAGCCGGTTTTGAGATGATGCAGAACGAAGACATGGCGGAGCGCCCGGATCCGAGTCCGTGGTACTGGCCCTTGGACGCGGGTAGCTGGAGGCACGCGCAGACGGCGGGCGACTTGCTCTACACCTTCCGCATGACCGGGCTCGGAAGGGCGGTTACGCATGGATTTCTCGGACTCATGGAGACGTTGAGGCTTGCGCCCCCTGGCGTGATGAAAATGTCAGACAGCTTGTGTGTTGCTGCTGATGCGCTGGTCCTCGGCGGCAAGGAGAAGATTTTTACACCCATGTATTTGATGGTCGGACGCAAGCCCGCGAAAGAGGAGGAGGCCTTTGCTTAGTTCCTTGCCACAATTTCTGCCTTGTTGTTAGAACAGACCTATACTAGAGTATAGACCTTACCATGTAATTAACTCTTTAGAAGCTGTATTCATATTTAACGTCGGCCTTCCTTGCAATGGTCGGGCTGGGGAGGACATTTAAACTTTTGGTTCGGAGCAAAAATATCGAAAGAAAATGGGGACATAAAAAGCAACAAGATAGCATCAAGCTAGGCCAAAAGGATGGACGATCTGGGAATCGAACCCAGGACCTACCGCATGCTAAGCGGTCATTATACCACTAAACCAATCGCCCATGATGATCTAGCCCGGACTTGAACCGGAGACCTTCAGTGTGCTCATTCGAATCGCTTCGAACTGTTAGACTGACGTGATAACCAACTACACCACCAGACCATTTGAATTGTTGGGGTCTGCATCCGAAATTGTGTGTTAGAAATCATTGCGGTGGTGGGGGGACGATATGTGGGAACTGAATCATGAAGCGAGGGAGACAAGCCCTGGTGGAGCCGAGCCGGCGGGACGGGGTCTAGACCGGCGGTTGAGCCGGAGCTGAGGTCCCGAAGCAGACGGGTTTGGCCGATGGGCTGAGATGAGACAATCAGTGCCGCGGACACGCCACCCGGCGCCCACCGCGCGGGTGTTCATAGTTGCGTCACAGTCAGAGGCCCTGAGCCGCCGTGTGGGGGGGGAGGGGGGGGGGGCGGAGGCAGAAACACCGGCCCCCCCACCCCCCCCCCCCCCCCCCCCCCTGCGGACATTCTTTGTAGACATCAACAATGAATGAAGCAATTCTTTTGAGAAAACATGCGATAGTGTCTCAAAGGATTCCGAGACTATTCTAGAATTACGCATGGGTTGAGAAACATCGTGGTAATGGGCCGATACAGCATCAATCACATTCCTGGCTCAGCCAAAGTTTAGGAAATCTCCCACCTTTTTCGAGAACTATGATCTTGTGAAATAATCAGATGCAGTGTCACTCGACAACGTGGTTCATGGAAGAATCTGGACATGGGCTCCGCGTGGCTTGGGAAACCGAACGTCTTTGAGCTCAAGGAAAGACCAATACGGTAGAAGAACGCCCGAGCGGGGCTCGGCGCCGGGCTTTTTGCATTTTACAGGCTGAGGGGGCTCTGGGCGTTGGGTATCGCACACACTGGCATGCGCTGCATTTGAGCGCATTCCTTGAGGGGAAGGGTCTCTATGGCTCCGGGAATGGTCCTCGAATATCCATCGTTCCTTAAAAGTCGCAAAGATGGCCCTGGACTGATCAATAGTAGTGTAGACTCTCATTCGACACATCATACCTTCGCCACGCAACTCATAGAATGATCTTGGGCATCTGTGTTGTTGTTCGTATCAGGCCCGACTGAAGTCTATTTTGACTTTCAGGAACACGTTGTGGCCAATAAGGTTATTTCCAGGGACCCAACCATCGTCGGCTGTTATTGCATCGTTGGCTCGTAATATTACGTACGGATATATTTACCCCATTCTCAAGTGCATCGGCCCCCGAGGCCTGCCCAATTGTCACAGGCCGGTTCGCGACGTGCGCTTATCCTCAAAAACTCCTCACGTGCACCTATTATGCAATATACACCAGGCTAAAGATCCCCCATTTCGCTTCACTCTCAACAGCAGGAAATCATTCTTGGCTGCGTCCGACATCTTGTTGTTTTCTCTCAAGAGACCATGCTCTGTATCATGTCGTGACATTTCTGCCGCGTCCCCTCACGTTCCGGAGTGCGATAATTCCACCACTGGCAGCTGAGCGCCAGTGTTAGCCGGATCTTGGCACGGTGTTGTCATACTGGTGTGGCTGAGCCAAGATTCTCGACCCGGGATCTTGTATGACTATCATTGGTGATGGCTTCTGCAAGGCGGGCAGGGTTCTCCGCATGCTCGTAGGAAAAGGTCATGAAATGAGCAGAACAGCGAGACAGCTGAGATCCAATTGCTCGGGACGTGGCTCCGAGCTCGGTTCGGGGTAACAAGAGACATCGATTTTCCATCAGGTTATGAGCTTAGCTATGCGATGAACTAGGTATAAGTAGGACGAGGAATCGGCGTTGAAGTAAATGAGCTGTGCTTGTAGATCAGCCTGTTGTTTTTCTGGTTTGGTCATCTCGCATTCTCTGTGCTCTTCCATCCTCCTTGCTAGCCATCAATTTTCTGCAACGACGTCCGTTATCATGAGATTTAACGTCCCAATAATTCTCTACGCCTTTGCAGGCCTAGCCACGGCCAATCCGCTCGACTGGCTGGGGATTGCCTCCTGGGAAGTTGAAGGCTTTGCCAAAGACAACCCACTCGGCAAGACCACCGGTGGAAAAGGCGGACCAACTGTAACAGTCTCAAGCGTCCTTGAGCTTCAGACTGCCGTGGCTGGTACCGATCGCAAAATCGTGGTCCTCAAGGGCGAATTCGTCTTGCCGGCACGCCTCAACGTCGGCTCGAACAAGAGCTTGGTTGGCTTCAAAAACACAGCACACATCACCGGCAAGGGCCTCAACGTCTACAACGCAACCAATGTCATCCTGCAGAATCTCAAGATCAGCCACATCTTGGACAACGACTGCATTACGATCCGCAACTCTACTAGGGTCTGGGTCGATCATAACGAATTCACCTCAGACATTACCAAAGGCCCGGACTTCTACGTACGTGGGATCATTATTCATACAGGCTATTGACATGAGATGAAGACTGACGCCAAGCGAACAGGACGGCCAGGTTGATATCATCCGTGCCTCGGACTGGATTACCGTCTCCTGGAATTACTTCCACGACCACTGGAAGTCATCCCTCATTGGCAATGATGCCACGTTCCGCGACCTCGACTTTGGCCACCTTCACGTCACGTACCACCACAACTACTGGAAGAACGAAGGCACTCGCGGACCCGCAGGCCGCTTCGGTCACCAGCACATCTATAGTAATCTTTACGAGGACTTCCTCTACCAGGCCATCCACTCTCGCTCCGACAACCAGGTTTTAGTGGAGGGTAATGTCTTCCGTGGCAATACCCGTGAAGCACTCAGCACATATGGTCTCGTCATCCCTGATGATTCACCAAATACTTGCGTCTGCGGCGACGAGGAATTGGATGGATTTGCCAACCTTGGTGCTCGTACGTGATTGTCGATTGCAGCGCAAACTCCTGGTAACGTGAACACAACGCTGACAAAGATGATAGCCAACGATTGGGGCAAGGCCGGTGTCAATATTACCCGGAAGGGTGACTTCTACAAGGCACCGTACAAGTTCAAGCTCACTCCTCTGCCTTTGGTGGCGCCTATCGTCAAACTCGGGGCAGGAATTGGTCGGATTTGAGTTTTTGGGACCTCCGGGATCGACCGTCAATAATAGCCTATACGCATTGAGAAGCTGAGCTTAGTTAGCAAGAGAGCGGCTGGGTTCCTTGCATCTCTCTTCGATACATAACTTGATAAATCGCCTCGACTGGTCACGTTGAGCTTTTAAAGCCCCTCGTATTATCGCAAGGTACTTGGTATATTTAGATGGAAATCCACCCTGACAACAGAAACACAACCCAACGCCGTGGGCAGTACCACTGTATTCCACTGCGTGATAACATGCATGACATGAGGATTTGAATCAATCATGTCATGATAAAAGACGTGAACCCTGTTCAAAAGTAAACGGCTGACTTTCCAGAAGCCTTGGAGCCACAAGCATCCAATTCCCATTCCTTCCCTTATCCAATTCTATACAAGTAGCTAGAAACGCAGCTTCTCCACATTATTCAACAAGAAGTTGAAGCTATCCTCTCGAAAGTCATCGTCTATCAAGTCTGCAGTTTTTGCCATCATGTGCAGCATTTTCTGACCGTCTCTCCACTTGGGCCAATCAATCAACTTCACTTTCGCGGTCCCCGTGCCGCCAGAGGAGTCATTGGGATCCTGATTGTACGCAAAGTTGAAGTAGTACGCCCGCGTCGCCGCAGCAGCGTAGTTTGGCTTGATCCCATAGAATACCTGCAAGAGGTCCGATCCATGGAACGTTCCGAGGACAGGAGTGCCGTAGTCGTAACTCGCCAGGTAACTCCAGGTGTTGACTTCGGGCTGGATCGTTGAGGTGAGGTTGAAAACGGCCCGGCGGGTGAGGGTGAAGACCGTGTCGCCCAGGATAGCAGCCAACTGCTTAAAATGGGGCCGAACTTCGTTGAAGCCAGCGGTACGGAATGGTGATCCTTCCGAAGGACGGGGCCCGTAGGTGCCGACGAGTTGCTTGATTTGTTGTGGAGAGGCGTTGTTGAAGTAAAGCTCGCTGAGGTACTCTTCCACCTCCCGAGTCTTGGTGACGTTGGGTTGGAATAGTGCAAAAAGAGTGCCTTCATCTTCTTGATCTCCAATGATAAATGGGACTTTGGGGAATTTCCCGGAAGTAAGAAAGATCTCTGGGCTTGATACAATGGTCTTCCCGTCTGGTCTGGGTAGGTAGGAGAGAGCAACTGAGCTATAGCTCAGAATGCCAGGTACCGAGTTGGCGGCTTTCCTCATGTCCTATCAACAACTGTTAGTTACTACAATCGGAGATGAAGAAGTTGTAGTTCGCCTCACATCGTAGGAGAGATCTCGTAAACATTGGAGACGATCAGCCTGCCCGTCGCAACCGGCAGCGTATAGAATCTTTTCATAGACCTTTGTGGCTTTCGGGGAGTCCATAGGATCAGTCGGAACAGCAGATCCAGAGTTCATTATTGCGCCGCGGAAGAGAGCTTTGCCGTTTCGTGTAATGTTACCGTTATAGAGTGACATTTGGCTGAAGATTGAAATAGCACCGGCCGATTCTCCCCAGAGAGTGACTTTGTCTGGATCGCCGCTAAGACACATCTGTGATCAGCTACCTCAATGTCATACGCGTGGTAGGACTCCAATACGTACCCGAAGCTGGCGATATTGTCTTGTACCCATTCGAGTCCCATTCGCTGGTCTAGGAGACCAGCATTAGAGCTGCCCTCCTGCATGAGATCCTTGCCTGGCATGAAGCCCCAGGCGCCGACACGGTAGTTGACTGCCACGAAGACGAATGGCTTGCCTGTTGACATTCCTTCTGCGACGAGCCCGGCTCCATTGTACATGGCCGTGCTGCCTAGTTCAAACCCACCGCCAAAGATCCAATACATTACCGGGAGCTTATCATCCTTTCTCGTTCCAGCGGGTCGTTGCACATTGACAGACAGACAGTCTTCCTGTCCCACGGCCAAGTTCTTGAGGATAGGGAGGTTGAGGACCTTGTCGAGAAGGTCTGGAGGGATAAGTGGCGAGCCAAAGTCAGGTTGGATGAGGAACTGCGGACATGATTCCGGTTGCTCCGTGGTAGCATCAACGTCTCCCATGGCTTCGGTTAGGCGTACGGGCGGCTTGAATCTCAAATCCCCAACGGGGGGTTTGGCAAAGGGAATCCCATTGAACGATTCAACTTCGCCGGCCTTGGCTCCGAGAAAGCCTTTCGTTGTGCCTCTTAGGTTGGCTTGAGGTGCATTGATAGTGACTCGAGGTCTTCCTCCGCCCCTTTTCTGCGGTGCGGCCCAAGTAAGAGCAAAGAAAAAGACGAAGACTACCGTCGAGTAAATCATGGTAATGTAGCGAATATAGTCAAAAGTCGTTCAAAGGCCCAACAAGTCTGTTTTCAGATTTTCACTAACATCAATAGAAAGTAGGCTGGAATGATGGCCATGGCGGCGGCCCGGTCTCGATATATCAGCAGAGAGTCATTCCGCCCAAAGCTTGTCTTCGGGCTTCATGGAAAGACAATGACATCGTTTAAGATCGAGGAACCAAGATATCATCGATGCCAGATGGGTTTACTTAGATTGACTACGGATGAACCAGGTAGCGCCGCACGGGAGGCAGCGACATGGCGGAGACTATTGGAGGGACTATTCGCATCGCATGGCCCGAAACGGAAGTGATCCTATATTTGACAGCATGTCAAGGTGGTGGGCTGCCCGAAGAAAGACTAGAAACCCTCGGCGAGGAGAAATCTCCAGGCCGTGATCCCATTGACGCGCGCATATTTAACTCGACCCTCGGCAGCGAAATCTCATATGATGGGCCGACAGGTATCACGCAATCAGGCTTTCAGATGGCTGTGCCCCAGAGTATGATTCTCGTCGGGTGACGGATGTAGCGTGATCGGGGTGGAGAAACACTCCTAGTTACAATTGGCCTGAGATGGCTGCATCGTTTACCCCTGACGTAGTGTTGGTAAGCTTTCCAAATAGCAGGATCAGATCAAAGCTCATGTTCTGTGACTGTCTGTGTTGCGAAGATTCGAGGGAGATGAGACGGAAAACACTTCAGCCATACTGGGGTCCAGATTTCCACACCGCCGAGTGGGTTCGTGTTCGGCTTCGTAGTTCAAGGTACTAGTTTCGGGTGACAAATCTCGGGGAGCTTTAATGATTTAACCAAAGCTTCGTCAGCGGCTTGGAGGAGTCAACCTTTGCCAACTTCCAAAGAGGGGATGGCCAACTTGCGCGCTCCTATCACCGTTCATAAAGATGTAAACAAATCTCATATAAGGATCCGATTGGCTCTACTTTATTTTCACAAAGCTACTTGGATCCTTCTCTGATTAGTCGGATCACGCATGACCCGAGATAGCCTTGGGCTGGTAGAGTTCCTCGAGGTACTTCTCCTCCTCGTCAGTCAAAACCTTGCCGTCAGCAGTGATTGCCTGATCAATTCTCTCGACGCTGCTGAAGCCAATGATGGGACTCGTGATGCGCTTGTTGATCCATGCCAGAGCCACGTGGGACATGGGCCAGTTGCGCTTCTCCGCGATCTCCTGAACTCGCTGGATAATGGTAAGATCCGGCTCCACGGTTCCATGGCTTCCGGGCTGGCCCTCCTTCTCGGTCTTGCTGCGCGAGGTGGAGCCGAAATCCTTCGGGGGTCGGGCCAAGTGACCACGACCTTTTGGACGTCACCGATTAGCACGAGCCAAGACTGAAATTTTTCGGGTGCAGACATGACTTACAAAGAGGAGCCCACGGGATGAGTCCTACTCCGGTAGCATCACAGAATCGGTTCATCTCCCTCTCTTCCTCGCGGTACAGCAAGTTATACTGATTCTGCATGCTCACAAACTTTGTCCAACCATGCTTTTCGGCAGTGAACTGCATCTGGGCGAATTGGGTGCCCCACATGCTGCTCGCACCGATATAGCGGACCTTTCCTGACTGTACCAAATCGTGCAGGGCCTTCATGGTTTCTTCAATGGGTGTCCTGGGGTCGAATCGGTGGATCTGAAGTAGGTCGATGTAAGGAGTGTCCAATCTCTTCAAAGATGCCTCAACCTGGTTAAAGATGGAAGCCCTGGACAAACCCCATTGGTTCTGATAGTCCTTGGACTTGTTAATCTCTTCGCGGTAGTTGAAATGACGAGTCTCTAGAAAGAACATTTGCTGTTAGAAGTGCAAATGGTGATGTGACCGCCATATCAAGTCGAGACGTACCAGGCTCTTCGCCGACGGCAAAGAAACACTTGGTCAAGATGATGACCTTCTCACGTGGGATGTTGTACTTCTTCAGCGCCTTGCCGATGGTCCTCTCGGAGGCTCCGTTGGAGTACACGTTTGCCGTATCCCAAGTGTTCAATCCGCGATCGTAAGCGGCCTTTAGCAGCGGAAGTGCCTTAAAAAAACATGAGTCTCGGACTTATTGCAGATTGATTTTGCGAGATCATTTTGGCATAGGAACGCATTGGGAAATACCTCATCTTCGTTCAAGGCCCAGCCGATGGTGCGAGAATCTCCAAAGCTCATGCAGCCAAAAATGGGAACTGAAACACGAAGTCCGGACTTTCCGAGCTGGCGATATTCGACTTTTGTGCTCTCGATGCCTTCCTTGAGACGTGCGGGGAGCTCCTTGGACGCCATTGTGGTTTGTAAAGATAAAATCTGGATGTTTCGTGAACAAAGCCTTTGGAAGGGTAAGTACAAGTTGCTGAGACCGGCTAGCACGCAATGAAATGTTCAGGAAAGACCCAATCGTGGAAAAGTGCAAGTGTAACACGGTCTAAATAGCTGAAGTAGCTACCTCGAGGGCGCAGACGTCATCAAGCCCGATCGCGACATACTTTGGAGGGGTCACAGCGCGGGCCGTTGGTATCACCGAGAGGCCATGAGCTACCCCGCACTGCGCTAGTGATTATTCTCCCTCTCCAAGCCAATCGAGAGTCGGTGCGGCTTGCTGACGTAAAGTCTTCTGGCATTCAAAGCATTTATGATTTAGACATGGCAGTTAAAATGAGCTCTGGTTATGAGGATGGTTTTCCCGGCTTTATTGCCTTTGGGGATCAACCTGAATGGGATCCATGTACCCTACATAGTTTCTGCATCCATGAGGATAAGTTAAGCCGACATCGAGGTGCCAAACCGCGCACTCATTTTGTACACTCTTGCGCAAATTAGCCTGTTCTACATGTTATCATAATAAATTTTAT